ATCTCCATGTAGGCGGGTGGTGAATAATGCAGTAAAATGTGGGAGATCTTTATGAATCTGAGATGTCTCACACGTGTTGGTCGCTGGCATATTTCGTTCATAATTATTCTATATCATCACTCTGGCATTGTTTCTCATCGGTTTGTGTATGCAGTGTGTTTGAGCTACCATACGACACCGATTTTTAGATCATTTCATTAAAACAAGCCTTCATTAGTTGACTTTGTTATTTTATATGACAAATGGCAGCTGTCTCTTTTACACTTATAAAGTATTTGTTATGTGAAAGAACAACACAAGAGGGCATGTATTCGAAATAAGTTTGACATGTATTAAAAATATGCGCACCATCTAAACACAGGATACCCACAAGCCAACGCAACTGATACCATTTCAATTAGCTGCGAGCAGTGGTGTACAGTAACGAAGAAGAAATACTTCGTTACTGTACTTAAGTCGTTTTTTTGGATATCTGTACTTTACTTTACTATTTATATTTCTGTTGACTTTTACTTTTACTTCACTACATTTTGCAAAGAAAACTGATACTTTGACTCCGATACATTTCCCCTGAAACCTTCGTTACTCGCTACAAAATCAAATCTATCTTTAGAAACAAATGAATCATGAGACCAGCGTCGGGGACTGTGGTGGAACAGAGACTGCGAGCAAGCAGGTTTGGTGAATCAGTGTTCCTAGCTTGCAAGTTAAATCATTGGTTAATCACGTTAATGCGCAAAACAAGTGCTCTCAAAGCCGCGGTGTTTAGATTCCCAGGATGCTATATGCTATAGCTAGCGAGCGACAACACGAGCAGAATTCCACACAGGACGGGTGGGATGAGGAGAGGTGGATGGGTCAAACAAACACTGGTGTTTCCTCCAGGAGGCCGCAGTTTGTGCCGTGCGTGAAACGAGAAGCCAATGTTGATTTATTTGCGACGTGACTTCCGTACTTAAGCAACGCCACTTCCGTAGATATTTTAACGCAAACCACGATCTTTTCCTCAACCTAACTAAGTAGTTTCATCGCCTAAACCTTAGTTGTTTCCTGTGAAGATGGAAGTTTATTTTGAAAAGACAGTATGCATGTAACAAGCGATGAGGAGCAACTTTTCGTAAGATATCAACAAAACGGGGATGAATTTATATCATTGTATAAAGAGAGTGACATGAGAAGATCAATCTCATGTCTGTAAGTTAAATCAGCTATAATCACTCTTTTAAAGTGATTAGTGACTCGTCTAAAACATTTTAAAAAGGAATAACTTCAATAGAATCATTCTATACAATGTAGCTTCTTTACATTCTAATAGAATGTAAAGAAGCTACATTGTAGTAGAATTGTCTTTTGAAGATGAACAGGGCATTTTTCAGGTTCCAGTAATGTTACTTTCGGTGCTGCTTTAGTATCGATCATGTTTTGATATTTGAGTCATTTTGTGGATGATCAGATGGAGTTATGATGGTAGCAGTCGCCCAATTGCAGATTCAGCTCGAGCAAAACCTTTGCCTATTGTGTTCAAATCAGGCCCATAGGAGTTTACAAGGCAGGTGTCCTTTCTCAGAACACTGACCTGATGCATCAAGTGGATATTTTTTGCTGAACACAATATTATGCATTTGCCCTCTACATCCTCTAGTCGGAATGAGCATACTTATAAACGCACTGTTATAACTCCTTCATAGTGTCGTATTGCTTTTCGGAGAACTATGATGATAAGTTCATAGTAGATGCAAAAGTATACTTATGTACAATATATTATGTTGAACATTGTTGCTCCTGGATGGATCACAGCCAACCCAATTATTAACACAGCTCCATGTCCTTGGTCATGGTGCCACAGCACTTAAAAGAATAAACTTCATAATTCTGACCCTTTGCTTTTTATTAACAGCATTTACTTGTACTTTTACTTTCAATACTTAAGTACATTTAATATCAGAAAATTACTTTTGATACTTAAGTACAATAAATATCAGATACTTTAAGACTTTAACTCAAGTAGTATTCTAATAGGTGACTTTTACTTTTACTGGAGTAATTTTCCAGTAAGGTATCTTTACCTTTACTCAAGTATGGCTTTTGGGTACTTTATACACCACTGGCTGCGAGTAACACTGTACCTGAAGACAATATCAAAGGCAAATCAAGAGAAAAAGGCTAATTTTAGAACACACACACACACACACACACACATACACACACACACACACACACACACATAAGAGAAGTGGGAAGTGCTTCAATTATATACAATTTGTTAATTTACAAGGCAATGTAACATATTTTTCATTGAACTATGAAGCCTTTTGTATAAAAAAGTAAAAAATAAACTTTTTTAATTTTTACATCACAATAATTTGAATAAATGAATCTGAAAACTTTTTAGAAGACCTCCAGGCAGAGTGCCACAGACCCCACTTTGAGAATCACGGCTTTAGAGTATCACTTTAGAGGAACTGCATACTTATTAGGGAGATATTTATGTGACACGACAGCCATGCATATGAGGCTGCACTTTGGCACAGCAGTTATTTGAGCTAAATGCTATAAGCACGCTAATAAGCTCACAATGACAATGCTAACAGGCTTTGTGTTTACCATGGTTTCCATCTTAGTTTAGCGTGTTAGTGTGCTAATATTTGCTAATTAGCACTACCTTTCATTAATTGATTTGGTCATTATGACTTGAGAGCTTCAGAAAGCATTGAAGAACATTTCTTTCCTCCATGGCAGGCCAAGCATTATGTAGGCATTATCTGAGCTTGCAGAAAATATAATTGATAGGGAACGCAAAAACTACTACAAGACAATGCAAACGGGGCACAATTACTATTGGTAAGGAATCCTCAAGTGTAACATGTTAAGGGAAAAAAAGTTGTTAGTATCCTTTGATGTAAAGCAATCCCAGACTAGACAGGTTGGTAAATACAAGTGTGCGGTGTGCAGTTTATTGACATCATGTTGCATGATTTCTGGGTGTTAAAGGTCAGACTTTTTAGACCGTTACCTCCCATCACTGAATAGAGCCACCTTGTCTCTCAAGAGTTCACTTTCATTCATACTAAGTGCAGAACTAAGTGCACTAGTTGTCATAGACTGTTTCCTCAAACTCTGTATCGGCTGTGGAGCAGAAGAGTGGTGAGACAGTGGGAATTTGCGACTGAAGTGAGTTAGCACAGACAGTCAAGTGCTATCGCCTCAATAAAAGATGCCATGCCAATAATTGGCAGACTGGCTGTGCGGCTGTGGCTCCACGTCTCACAAGCTGGTTGAACTGGCATCACACTGGTACCGCATCAGAAGCCGGATCAGTCATCGAAAACCTGGACTACTACAACAGCTGTAGTCTGAATAAACAGTGGGAAAGTGTGAGTCATGACACGAAGATGGCCACTGAGGCAAGTGGTCTGCAAATGTAGCATTGCTATTACTCTTGCCTCAAGCCCAACGACGTCTGGAGAGAGACTCTAATCCTAAAATGTCAAATAATGAGGACTTGCAGAGGCTTTGACGTTGAAATCACATACCCACAGACTGTTTCTGGTTTAAAAGTAATGTTGTTAAAAGCTATTAAACACATCCACAGGGCCCCCAAAAATATAGAACATGCACACAGTGCACACAGTATTTCATATTTCTGTATATTACATTGCACAGCTTATTATTGATATTGTATTGAATGTGCTCAAAGGGGGTAGATATATATTTTTTAATCTTTAAAATGATTTGCTGAAAATGTTCAAAGAGGCAGCTCATACTCACAGGACCAAAGCTCGCCCTCTCCATTATGAGAAGCTGCTTTTCTCTAATTGGGAACATGCACTTAAGGTTTTCTGATGTTGGATTTTCATGTGCTCCATTATCTCTTCACTCACATGACAACTGGCTTTTAAGTCAAGACCATCTATTATTAGGGGAACTCTCCTACGCAACCTAAACGTCCAGAATCAAAAGGAAAGGACGCTGTGTGATTATATTAGAGCACTAAGACCTTGTCGAAATGATCAAAGACCCTGACAGAAGAACACATTTGTTATCAGAGGTCTGTCAGACATAAGTCAATACAGGCCAGAGCGGAAAAATCCTTAAGTGTGATTGTCATGATGTACAAACAGCTTAGTATCTGGTGTCCTGGTGGATCAGTCTGAAAGGATAATCGGGATGTTCTCGCTTTGAATCAGACTCTTGATTATTGTTGAATGTCACCGCCCCATACTCAGTGCTTTTTAGAGATGCTGGAAGTGTGGTTCTACGGATGTCAATGTCAGTCGGTCCACCACTTTGTTCCAGACTGAAATATCTTAGCGACTATACTAACACCACTAATGTATAACATTGCCATGATGTTTCAGACGGATGTTCATGGTCCCAATTGAATGAGCCCTAATGACAGTGAGCATGCTAAAGATGATACCTGCTCAACACAAACAAAAGTAGTTACACAGCTTTAAGATGACTCAGTGTCAGCAAAGTCATGCAGGCTGCTGACCCACATTTGAGACTTCAGCTGAGGAAGAAGGCAACCAGGAAGTTAAAAAAAAAACACACACACATAGGAAGTGGGGAAGTACTTCAGGGGAAAAACAAAAAAAGCCTTCAGCTTCTTGTTCTGCTTCTGAATTTGAGTGTCAAATTTCTTTCTCTCTTCCAGATTGAAATGAATGGATTAGAAATGTACAGCCAGGGTCAGACAGGCTAATTGGTTCCGTCTTGCTGTCATGGAGGAGACAGCATCACCTCCTCTGCGTGTGATTCTCCTCCATACTGTACTCTGACAGACATATGTCAGTCCCGTACTTTAAAGAGTTGACACTGATCCATGTGGATGAATGAGGACACCATAATAGATCAGGCTCCTTGTCATGCTTCCACGGCCAAGTGGCATTACAGGCCACACTTTAAGCACGACATCCAGTTGGGTGCTATTATGCATTTAGCACGTGTTAAAGATTACAATCAGCCCCCCCTCCTCCCGGTCACTACAGGTTTCTTTCGCTTGTGGTGCACAGCAGACTGCTTATGCCGCTGCCGTCGTTAGCCGAGTATTGAGCTACCAGCTGACCTACTTTCTCTGCTCTCAGCCACTCGGTCCTGTTTACAAGTCGCTGCCAGCGGAGGATGTGGAGTACAGTGCTTGGAAAAATAGACTAGCAAACACCACGAATGGGACTATTTATTGTTTGGTGTGTTGTTGATGAATGAGGAGCCGCAGACATCTTAATAACCTGCACGTTATTAACTTAGGCGTTTGTTATGCAATTTAACGCTTTCGGTGCCCCAGTCAGCCAGACGCTGGTCACGTCAGTTGCGCTTCAGTTGCCATGCTGTAGTTTCAAATACGATGACTCGACCGATCAAAGTTAGGCGCGGATCTTTATTCCTGCAGGAGACCCCCTTTCAAGGTACGTGGGATTTAATTACAGCTTTCAGTTTCGCGTCACAGAGCGCAAAAGCCGTTTACACTGTCTGTGACGTCAAAGTTCACGAGTGGCTTCTTTTCTAATTAAAGGAGGGGTGGTCGAAGCGTCGACAGCGAGATGATCCCCCCTTTCAACATGTTCTAGGAGAGCCAGACTGCGCAGGCTGAAGGTGTATTTAGTCCGATACAGAAGTCTGTATTAGTAACGTTACATATAGCCGGCGCTCTTGAATGCTGCTTACATGTTTTTTTTTTTAGCTCACAGTCTTCAAAGTGCACCGGTTACAAGGTGAAATAACCCATTTACCTCTGCTGATGACGTGCATGGCAAACACTTCGTCATTGTAAGACCAAAATGTTAAATGTCACAGGAAAAGAAATCCTTAAATAATTTCTCAGCAGGCTGAGGTCAGGCTAGTGTTACCCAACCTGGCAGCTTTAAGTCTGCTGGAGTTCGCATTTCTCTGACTAACCTTCTCTTTTCTTGTTCTAGGGGCATTTTGGGGCTTCTCATTTGCAGTTGACATAGTTTTAGAGAGATCTCCTCTGTCTGGAGTGTGGCAGAATTACTTATTCACTGTGTGTACACTGGAGGATGAAGGGTCATTGAGTGCACTCATTGGCCTCCTCACTGTTTGTCATTTAGTGTGTAATAGAAGTATTTCCTGTTTCCCTATCACGTGACACCATGAATCACAACAGAAAACAAACTCTTTCAAACTGATTTAGAAACTGATCAATACGATCTTACATGTTATCAGAACTTAAACATGTTCACACCGCTACATATGCAAATATGTACATATTGTACACATATATGGGTTATTATGTTGACAGAATCAAAAGACCAGCAGATACGTTTTTCGAGCTGACGGCTTGAGCCAAAAAGCAGATGCAGGTGGAGGTGGTCTGGCAATGTAAACTTTTCCCCAACCAGACAGTAGCAGTCACTACCCCCTGGATTAACAAGTAACCTAAATGAATCTGTCAGCACGAGAGCAGCAACAACACTGTGAGCTGGCTGTCATAAAGCTTGCAGGTCGCCCTTTATTACCAGCAGTCTACTACCTGATTAGTTTTCTTGTGTGTGTGTGTGTGTGTGTGTGTGTGAGAGAGAGCAGGTGAAACATTAACATGATAAACCCTGTGAAGGCTGTCCTCGAAAAGAGAAATTCGGGGTCGACTAACAAACAGACATTTTTGTCGACTAATCGATTAGTTGATTTAATCTACAGATCTTTAAAACTGAGCTTAGCCTCAAATAATCGCACAAAAGCACCACTTTAAATCTCGTGTTGTGTTGTGTGAGACGTGCTCGTAACCTTTGTGTAAATGAGTCATTCAGCATAAAACCAATTACTAAAGAAAATGTAATCGACTCGACTAAGAATCAACTGAAAGGGGGCGGCCCTAGAAAAAGTCCTCTCTTCATTGTGGATTTATTTTAGTATTACAGAGAGTAGATGTTTCGCCATCACTTCAGAACTAATAACTAATGGCATTATGAATTGTTGCTCTTTAATTCATTATGAAGGGACATAGCGTATACAGACAACAAAAATAAAGTGTTATAGTGATGACGGACATTTCTTTTATTGTGAGCTTTCAGTATGAGGACCATCTTTGCTCTTGTTTGGTCGAGCACTTCATTAGTGTTCGTACACAATGTGTCTATTTTGTACTCGTGTGTCATTGTTTCTTGATATTGATTTGCTAAATAATGTATTAGCCGTTAATGAAGCCACTATTTGCAAGTTACCCGGTTTGCCTCTTCTGAAAGCAGCACAGGTTTTTCTCATGGAGTTTGCGTGGTCTAAAGTGGTGCTTTGCATTTCTTATGGTTTTGATAATCAGAGATGGCCTGTGGCTTTTAAAGTTTCTGTTTTGAAATATCAATAAATTGGAGACTGCTGCCAATGTCTGAGCTGCTGATATTGGCTGGGTTTATACTTTTTTTTTGTGATATCAGTTATATGAATCTGACCATTTCTGTTTGGTGATTCAAAATTTAGGAGGCGGTGAGATTTATACGGTTTCCATATTGATATATTGTGAGAGGGTTTCTGGAAAATCTATTTACTGTTTTTTTTTCCTGATCTTTGGCTTCATCTCATTGTTGCCAAAATCCTCCTCGATTTGCAACGTTGCCTATAAAGGCTTAATATTACCAGAGATGTGGAGCTGACAGGCTTTAGAAGGTAATTGTGCAAGCCTTACTTCTAATTTGTGAGTTGTACATTATTATATTCAGGTGTAAAGTAGGTTTTCTTCGGTTTGTCTTACATTACATATTAAAGATAATCTGTACCTTTGTATGAATTGCCCAGTAAACATCATCTATGCTAAAACAATAAGCATTATGAGGTTAAGATTAAAGCCCTGCGGGAGTTTTGCCCTTGTCCGCTTCATCATTGTGAAACTACTGCAAGAATGTAATGCAGACAATAACGTGTTACGATGTCTGTGTGGCGGTGGCGATGTTGAACATAATGCTCATGTAACGCTGCAGTTGGACTCCTTTTGTATGGAAGCCGATAGGCTTGCCGGCCACGCCCCCAATCCCTGATGTCAAACAGGTATTTTGGCGATGACAGTTCAGGCAATGTCTTCTGTCAAGATCCATCATCAAGCCAAATATTATCAGGAAGTTAATGACAAAAAACAGCCCGTGTGCTCCATTGTTAATCCACCATTAACTACATAATGACCATTACCTGAGCCGCACGCAAGCTCTGTAAATGAGGATCTGACAGACAGAAATTGAAGAGGGAACAAGGGCTTTTCAGATGTCCTTTTTTTTTCGCAGTGGAGGATTTTATCTTCAGCAGCGAGCAGGTCTGGTGTCTGAGGGTGGCACAGCATTGGTAAATCTAGTATTAACTTTAGAAATCTGCAGTGTGCTAGTGCTGTTTGCCTCAGGAAACCCAGTAGGTACAGTTAAACTAGATGAACTGAGGGAGAACATTGTATCCCCCAACAAGCTACAGGGGGAGGTGTGAGGCTCAGTTGTTGTGGCAGCGGGGGCTTTTACCTCATTAAACTTTAAAATGAAACCTACACGCTCTCAAGAAAAAGAAACCACTTCTAATCTTACTTTGCGTTTCCTCTTTTGTAATTTATTGCCAGAGTAATCGTCCCCCATCCCTTTTACGGCCCATTTACGTACAGAGTTTAGTCATAAACTTATACATAAAGTCATAAACTTGAACTTCAGTGTACAGACCGGTGTTAGGAGCGGAGGTCGCTGGTTAAAGGCTTTAAATACCCGAGGGCACAAATGTAACTAGACTCTGGCGGTTCTGTGCTGTTAACCTTGCAAGGTGTGGTTTCCCCTTAATGTGTTAAAAGAATGCATGGTTGATATTTATGTGGAGTAAAGAGGTTTTAAGTTCAGATGTGACTCTAATCTGTTGAAACAGTAGTTTGGTAGTACGTGAGTGAGTTTTTTATTTAGTGTTAACTTCAGCGATAGCAAATATTCTTTCTTGCTCATCATGATCAATTTGGGAAACATTCAAATCCCAACGTCCCAGTTAAATAATAGCTTGATTTGTCTGTAACATATTAGAATTTCAGCAGTCGGCAGTTCAACATCTTTTCCTGCAAAGTTTCTCCCTGCTGCTTTTCCTGCTTTCTTTTCTAATGTGTGTGTGTGTGTGTGTGTGTGAGTCTGTGTGTTTGTGTGGACAGAGGAGGAGATGTTGGTTTGTTGACATTAATTAAGACTCTAATGGAAAGGTGTGTTTCAATTGAATTGGTTTGTGCCTTCTATACAAAAACAAACAAAAAAAAACAAAAACGTCAACTTGTTAAATGTTAACTTTCCCCCCCAAACAATATGTTGAGGCAACAAGAGTAAAGATTGGGGGAATATTGGGGACATGGCAACTTGAGAACAATGACAGTATGGTGAATTGACGGGTGAATGTTCACGTGTAGCGTACAGCGCTGTGGTCCAAAGACTAGAAAGGAGCTACATAAATGCAAGTGCATTCCCCGTCACCATTTACACTGCGCGAGCGGCGGGGCACGCCCACGTCGCCAATCAATCCCAGGGCTGACACACAGAGACAGACAATCGAACACATTCACATATTTGCATTTGCTGCATACAGTTGTAGGTTCATTCATGCTGTCGGAGTAGAGACGAATATTGAAACCTAAGAATATCCTAAAATGAAAGACCTTCATGTCAGTATCATGATATACTTCTTTACCATAAGACTCTGTAAGATCAGGCTAGTCTGAGGAACGTGCAGGCAGGGGAACTCTTTTTTTATACTTATAGTGTTTTTTGGAGTAATTATTTAGGGCAACGGAGCTCATTGTGATTTGAAATGATAGAAAATGCAATAATGGTGGCTTCCCCTGAGGGTTCTTGTGTAAATCTCTCAGACAAACCAGCTGCTCTACCAATCACAGGCATGTACTTTGACTAACGTGTACAGTGCATCCCGTGATTGGCCAGAGAGAGGGAGATGACAGCCTGAACCCTCTACTACCAGCCCCTACTGTACAGGGTCGCTACAACACACATACATACATATATATATATATATATATATATATTACAGTTGATATTTGGTGACTGAGATGATGTACAGTATGTTCTGTCAACCACATAAAGACTATATGCAGACAATGTATTAATATCTGTAATGGAATACAGCCGTATGTTGTTTCATTGCAGCTGACCAAGGCGCAAGGTGTGCGAGTTGTGTTTGGTTTATAATCGAGGTCTCTGCTCCGTGTTGTTGTTTTGTACAGAGGATGGGAAGGAGGTGGCTGTTCTACACTCTCTTCTTTTTTTTATGCTGGGTTATCAAAAGAGGTTTCTGCCTCCGACATTTTTCTAGGTCAGGGGAGCTCCTCCTGTGCAAAAACGCTTCTTTAGTGATGAAGCACTGTACCCAGGTAGGAGCTGAAGATTGCTAGTACACTTTATATTGTATTTTTAAATGGTTATCCTGCAGAACACATTCATATAAGTCCATATAAGTCCTTATAGTAAAAAGAAAAAGACAGGTTTTTTACAGATGAATAGCGGATCTTTCTGTATTTTCATCTCTACAGGTTCCAAAGAAAATACGAATTTATGCAACACGGTTTTCATCTTCAACGAAATGGCTCTGTTTTCACAGAATTTGGCGTTTCTTCGGTGGACTCGAGGAGGCGGTGGGCAACCGGTCCGCGCTAGGTTTTTCCAAACGAGTGTTCAGACGAGGTCAGCGCAGATGGGACTTCTAAGACTTCAGAAAGGGCCTGGTTGGGAAAAGGAGTGAGTATGGACAACCTTTCTGACTTCGGGGGCCCCTGTCCATCCAGCCACAGAGAATGGGAGTGAGTATTCAAACTAATTAACTTCACTTTGTGATCTTTATTGTACTTCTGCTCCATACACAGTACTTATATATATGTACATATTCTATATTGTTCAAATAGTTCTTCAACCTTTTAAATTAATCCCAATTAAGATGTTGCATTAGCAGGCTACATATAAAGGGTCAAAGGAACCATTAATTATGGTTAATCATTAATAGCTTCTAAAATACTTAAACGGCGCCTTCTATCTTAGATTAAATTAAAAAATAACCAAACCCGAGCTTGGAGCTTTACTCAACAACAGAAGCCTGGTGGCACACCATGAAATTGCTTATCTGTGGCAAGTTACATACTGGCCGGTTAAAGTCTATTTTTGGATGAGGCTGTTGACATATACCTCAATGCTTTGCGACTTTATGGTTATGTTTGTTGCCACTGATGACCTTGTTACAGTATATTAAAGTCCACACGTGCCGCTCTGGCCTCAGATAGTAAATATCCACACTGGCTGCAGGTTAAGTCCCCCCTCGGCTCTTTGACAGAACAGGTGTCCTCTAAAACATAAAAATGTGATTCCACATGTTAAACTTGCTGCCATATTCCTTGTCATTATCAAACTGTGTGAGTCCGACCAAATATAGAGCAGGACGTTTACGTGCCACAGTGACCTGTTAAACACGGGAGGAAAACACGGCACTCCAACTGGGTCACGGTGTTAACAGTGGAGATCGCTTAAAGACATGGAATCACAGTTTGTCGAGGCTAACCTCCCGAATTTGTATCTGTTTTGCAGAAGACATTTTGACGTGTCACCTTTTGTCACGAAAAGCGTGGGTGTAAATGGCAAAATAGCTGTAGCTGAATTTTATTTAGCTGCTTGTGTTTCAGGGTTTTTGGTATTGTGCATGCTGGTTCACTGTCACACTGCCATGGCTTACTCTTACTGAGACACTTGAACAGACTCATTGTCAGTGTTATTACTTATTAGTAACATGTCATTTTCCTACCGTGACGAGTCGAAACGTCTGCTGTGAGAAAAGGCCTGTTATGAAAGGTTCAGCAATGTATCATGACAACTTTTAAATATGCCGTGCTATTATCTGACGACTCTGTGAAATCATCGAACAAACTACATTGACCTTGTACGCCTGTGTTTTCCAGCACCAACAGCTGCGTGGACGATTTAATGGATGAAGATGAGAAAGACAGGGCGAAAAGGTACTCAGTCTTTTTGTTAACGTTTGTCTCTCAAGCGTGGAAATTGTAACTCCTATATTTACAACTCTACTAAATCAATGTGTAGTTTCTCTCTTTGCTGCGTCTTCGGTGGTAGTTAATCATTTTAAAAGAACCTTGAAGCTTCAATGTCACATTATGGTTAAGAATGAAGTCCATTATGGTTAAAATCTGACAATTTTAGCTAAGAAAATAGACATAATTCAGGTAAAAAGGAACTCACAAACGATGATTACTTTTGTCACCTCTTTGACCTCTTTGATGAAATATGTTAATCGCATAAGCCAGAATCTATGACTCCATCTCATTTCACAAACTTAATACTTTCTCTTATTAAAGCTGCATAAATGTATTGATCAATTTCCGAATGCTAACGTGGCTCCATTACAGACGAGGCTTTGGCCACCTGTTGGATATCCAATATTCCCCCAACTCCTTAGAAAAATATGCTTTAGCATGGTAACTTAGTTTACTGTGTAGCAGGTAACGCACAGTGGGTTTGTTAAGAGCGTTTCCTAAAAACAGTATCAAAGACAGACATCAATAAACGTGTGTGTCGTAAATCCAAAACAGTGAGCTAAAAGAGGCTGAACAGCTCTGTTGAACTGCAGAGTTGGTTCATAATTCTCTGTGGGATCATCACAAATATTGATGTTGGCTCAAACCAAGTTGAAAGCAACAGCTGATACAAGCTGAAATGCATTAGGGAGGGAATCAAGATGAAAATGACTTTCTTCTGTATTACATCGCTGTGCTGCTGCTCCGCTCTCTCGTTCCCTTCCCTCTCCCTCTTCGACGTCTGTCTCCAGCTAACTGTGTCCCTGCAGTCCTTGGCTCGCTTTTGTTTGGAAAAGCAACGCTCAGTCCAAACGGGATAAACAAACATGAACTACAGGTGCTTGATTGGCTGAGCTTCCACCTGCGACTCCACTGATTTATGATTGTTCTCTTGTGTTGACCGCCGCAGGGCATCTCGTAACAAATCGGAAAAGAAGAGAAGAGACCAATTCAATGTGCTCATCAAGGAGCTATGCACCATGCTGCAGGGTCAGGGACATCCGCGCAAGATGGACAAGTCCACCATACTGCAGAGAACTATTGACTTCCTGCAGAAACAGAAAGGTAGGGAAATACATACAGCATGTATTCACAGTTTGAGAAATGGACTGTCTTAGTATTGTTTCTCCCATTCGACACACCTTTTATTTATTTCCCCCTTTACTTCCATTATTACACAAATACACTTCTTCCCAGGCACTTTATTACACTTAATCCTCGGCCTTGTCTTTTTCAGACATCACTGCGCAGAACGAAACGTGTGATGTGAGACAGGACTGGAAGCCTTCGTTCCTCAGTAATGAGGAGTTCACTCAGCTAATGCTGGAGGTAAAGCTCAGGAGGATGTGTTTGTGGAAGAGCCCAAGTCGATTAAGCTCGGGCATTGATTAATGCTGTTAATAAAACAACAAGGAAGCCCTCTCCCTTAAACGCCCATGGAGAGCTGGGCAAGAAGACATGATGAGAATAAAATTCCGAACTTCCAATGTGTGGTACTAGTAGAGGAGGCTCTTAGAGGCAAATAGGGTACAAAAAACATGTGGTAACTACCACAGATAATGACGATATGTCACAATGTAAGAGTGCAATCTTTCATTTATGCCTTCACACCTTATGAGCTCATTGTCAAAAGTGCCCAATTTCTCCCTCTTCCTTCAGGCCCTAGATGGCTTCTTGGTCGCATTAACTACAGATGGCAACATCATATATGTATCTGACAGTGTGTCTTCACTCATTGGCCATTTACCGGTAAGTGAAATAAGCTGAAATAAGTGACTTCTATTCTCCTCCTAACACAGCGTTGTTTTTGTTGTTGTTCTCTTTTTAATTTAAGAATATATAAAGTACAAATGCTGCCTGATTAGAAAAAGACCCGTTACATGTTTACCGATATGTTATTTGGCCGATATTTGACTTGCACTGGTAAATTTATATCTGCAATTCATCTGATCTGATCCAGGACATCTTGGAAGTAGACATTTTATATTTGCCTTGATGTTTATTTTATTTGTGTTCCCAAAACACATTTACAAGAGATTGTTTGAGTACCACATAGAGATTTCAGTTTGTTAACTTCTTTACGGTAATGAATGAAACTAAACGGCATCGATTGCTGAATGCGCCGGTTCAAAACTGACCATAAGCTCTGAGCGCGTCTGGAACTACTTTAAAATGCTTAAAGTTCATCTATCCTTTTGCACCAGTCAGATATGGTGGACCAAAATATCTTGAATTTCCTCCCGGAGCGGGAACACGGGGAGGTGTATAAGCTGCTATCGTCCCACATGCTGATGACTGACCCCATTGCTGCTGACTTCCTGGACAGTGAGTATCCTGCCGGGCGGCCTCTCCGCACACTGTCTGTCTCCTGCCTGTCTCTAACACCACGTTGTGTCTGGTTGTCTCCCAAATCAGGAGGTGAAAAGTTCAGTATGTGAGAGAAATATGTAGTCGGCGTCGTCACTATTCACTTTTAGCTCAGAGATCTGTGTAAGGAGGCTTTTGTGTGACATACAAACTAAACCTGACTCCTGACGAGTTCTTTTTCCGAGTTAAAACTCTTTATATTTAGAGCAGGTTGCTGAATTGGGGTCCAAAGTTTATTGGATTGATGATTAGTGTGGATCTATGATTAGCCCTTTCAGTAATAATAGGAGCTAGCTTAGTATCATAGTTAAGACTTTAAATCACTGTTATGTTACCACAGTAATCCAAAGCAGTGTAGTATATGGGGCTCAAGACACTGACCTTAATCCTGTGTTACTATTGGGCTTTTCTGAGAAAGAGAGAGGGTGAGGAGCTAGTGTCTCGGCCTATACTTAGACGCCTAAATAGAGCCGCGTCTGGAGCGATCTTCATCTCTTTGGCACATTTCAAAAGACACATCCATCGTTTGTCTTTCTTGCATAAAAATGATTGCCTGGCTTTTAAGCTCAATTTTTGCTTCACTTGACCTAAAAATTATCCTGAATCATGTAACACAAGATGTGAAATTTCACATTTGTATAATTCGCATAAATTGCCTCCCAATGGATGTACGAAATGTATTAATGAATATTAAAATATTACATAAGCGTTATGCCTTAACCCTTTGTTGTTTAAATACTTAGACAGCGGACGTTTTCTACTGTCAGATCTATTGAAGTATTGTGAATACAAGATTTCATATGATTGTTTTCTGTAGCATAGAAATTACACTTTAGATCTTTCTTTGTTAGTGTCATACAAAAAAACAGAGACATTATCAAGAAGCACCTCAATAAGAGACAATTTGTTACAAAGATTTTGTATTATGAATAGGTTGTTAACCTTGAAAATAAAATCTGCTGTTTTTCAGACGAGACACATATTGAATTTTGCTGTCATCTAGCCAGAGGTAACATCGACCCAAAGGAACCGCCGGTGTACGAGTACGTCAAGTTTGTGGGAGATTTCAAGTTTCATAACAAGGGTGAGGATTTTTTTATTTTCTACTTGTTTTAAAGACTTAAGATTCAGTCAAATGTGTCACTTTAGTGCAGTTAAGGTCCATCAATTCTCTTAAATCTGCTTTTGTTTAAAGCTACTCTGAGGAACTTCGAACTGGTTATGAAACTCAATTTAATACTGATGACTCTATACGACCTACATAAGCACCTACATGAGACCATCAGTGAGAAGATTGGCTATTTCTAAAAAGTCATTCTTAAGGCTTTTAATCTGTGCCACACAAAGTCACGCAGGTTTACCAGAAACCGACCTGGACATTAATATGAGAGGTTTTCTCAATGGATCCCGGTTAAAGCTCCTCGTAGTAGCTTTAACAAACAGAATGGAAAAATACATAAAAGCTTTTTTTTTTTTTCATGGGATTGAATTAAGATGGACTTCACAACCAACCGTACACCCCATGTACCTTGACTTCTCTCACATAGTGCCTACATCTTCTTGTAACGGTCTCGATTTGACGTTGCCGAGAAGCCTTCAGTCTTCGCTGGAGGAGCAGGTCTGCCTCATTGCTACTGTACGATTAGTCACTCCACAGTTTCTAAAGGTAACGCCAGCGCGGATATTAACATCTTGTGCCTTTCTTTCTCAGTTTGTGTTGCATGTGTGTGCTGTCATTACTTTAAAAGGACTTTTTAAATATAAACAGGTGGTGGGATGTTGTGTGAGGGTCCATGAGAACTCCCAGTATCTGGAGACTTCTTGTTGCACAGTGTGTACCTTCCAGCTGATTACATCATTAGGGCAATTCTGATCCCAGAGGCGCTCGCTGAGTTGAAATATGCGCACCAGTTATCGTAGTAAATGACAGTCCTGTAACTCAGGCATTTTTCTGCCTAACATGAGAAAAAAAAGCGCCAGAAGAACCAGATCTATTGGACAAGCTTCATCTCTCCCCCTCTACTTATTCCAAAATGTAGAAGACACTGATTACACTGGTCTGCCAGATGGAGTGACTGTAGCAGTGTAGTCTGCACCATATGACACATGGATTATTTCTTCCCTCAAACAAATCTACTGCAAATACCGGTTTAAATCTGCAGTTTTTTTAACTCTATACTTTATGTCTGAACAAAGTTGACAATTTGAAGACAGGACGTGATGTATAACGTCTTCCTGCTTCACATTAGAGTAGCTGAATCTAGTGGATAAGATTCAAATGTCCCAATGACTTAGGCAAAAAGAAAATGTGACTTTCTCACTCTGTTATTTTTGTTTAGGATTTGTGTAATGTGGAAGATCCCTGTGATGAATTCACATCCAGACACAGCCTTGAATGGAAGTTCCTGTTTTTAGATCACAGGTAAAAGATGTGCATGATTCCTTCTCCTATTAATTGGCAGTGTCGCTTTTTTTAGCAAGAATTTGTCTTTCTTGCATGTTTATCAGTTCATTTTTATGTTTCAGGGCTTCACCAATCATAGGATATTTACCCTTTGAGGTTCTTGGAACTTCCGGTTATGATTACTATCACGTGGATGACTTGGAGCTTATAGCTCAGTGTCATAAGCAGCGTGAGTAACTGTTGCTTCTCTGTCTTCACCACCACCACATCCACGAATCCATCTCAGAAAAACAAATGGGTAACAGGTCTCCCTTCTGTTTTTCCTCCTCCTCAGTAATGCAGTTTGGAAAGGGTAAATCCTGCTACTATCGCTTCCTGACCAAAGGTCAGCAGTGGATTTGGTTGCAGACTCACTACTACATCACTTACCACCAGTGGAACTCCAAACCTGAGTTCATCGTCTGTACTCACACTGTTGTCAGGTGAGCCTGGTCTTTTTGCACCTTGTGGTGCTCTAATGTCTGCAGAGTTGGAGATGTGTACGCTTTTGTCAGTGTCCTGAGATTAGGGATGTGTGCAAGGCATTGGTTGTATTTAAAAAAAAAGATTTACACTCACACATACTCTCTCTATGTGTTGTTTTTTTCAGTTATGCTGAAGTGCGAGCTGAAAGGAGGAGAGCGTTTGGCTTTGAGGAGCTGTCTCCACCTGAGATCGCTCCCTCTTCAGTGAAGGTAAGAGTTACGTTCCCTTTTACATACAGTGTGTGTGTCAGTGTTTGTATCTGCTTCAGACCTGACCCTCGGTGTTCAACCTCACCCTGTGTCCCAGGCTCAGGAGCTGTACTTGGACATCTGCTCCACACTGGACGCTCCGCGGGACAGAAACAGCGGCGCACGTTCAGTTTCCTCCCACAGCTCCCGGAAGTCCTCCCACACGGCGATGTCAGACTCCGCATGTGAGTCATCGACTGCTCCCTAAAGTGCTAAGTCACTCAACAGCGGGTCAATCCTGCTCCTATACATTGTTGAAGGAACTGCTGTGTTATTTAAGTTTAGCGGAAAGAATGGGATTCTCCTCTGTGGACAAATGGCAGCAAAGGAAACGACTCCTGTTGTTGTTCACTGCAGCATCGGTGATAACGCTCAGACTTTAAAGTTTAGAATAAAATCCTTCCAATAGATTTAAACCTGACAAATCCTACAATTGATCTGAGAAAACGTTGTTATCAGAGGTAAAATCTTCTTTAACTAAGCAGACCAGAAGTCAGGAAAACGCCTACCTTTTATATATGTGGGTGACGATGCATCAATAATGAAATGTTTCCCTGTTTGTTTGAGCCTCCAGTCGCTCTGACTTTAGCTGCTCTTCCACCCACCGTCTAAAACTTTTCACTTCCATCTGTGTGTTTATGAACAATACACAGCCGCAGTGGCAGACTAATTGCAGTTGTTCATAAACATAGCTGCTGCTGCTGTCTTCCCACACATTAAAAAAAAGTAAACCTGCTTTCACTATTTCCAAAGATATATTCATAAAACTGTATCTGTCAGAAAAAATAGCTAGTAGATGTTTCCTCTCGGCTTTTTCATTGTGCGTCGGCTACGATGAAAAAGCATCCGCTGAATGCGTCCCAGTTTGTGGGTGAATCAGCAGTATAGTTATAAAACCAGAAAGGAAATGCATTTCAAAAGTTGTTCTGCCTTCACCTCAGAAAGGCTATAGTTACTCTGCTTAGGAAAAATGGACAAAGAGGATGCAAAAAGTTCATTGCAGCGTTATTAATACACTGTCAGTTATAATCACATGATTATTTGGTTTTCCTCAATAGAGACCTCGTGCTTTTTCATACGTTGTATGTACATCTTCACAACAAAGAGCCCAATCTCTGCCTAATCTTTAAATGAAGATTACTGGATACAAGCAAAGATTCAATGAAGCTGTTCTTTCCCTGATGAGCACAGCTCTGACCGAGGAAGGACAGACTGAAATATTAATAATCAAACTTCAAGACTTTCAGTGTATCATGCCTTTGTTCCAGATATTCGTTAGCTGTTATTTGACAAAGAAAAGCCGTGACGATGACCTAACTGAACATAACCTCAGTCCACTGTTATCTAAGTGTGTTTAGAGGTGGCCTGTCTTTCTCCCAGCAGCTAACTCCTACACAGAAGCCTGCACGCCGTCATGGCAGTCTGCTTCCGTCGGGACCGAGAAGACGTCTGCCAGACACCAACCCAGTAGTTCAAAGGTCAGTTCGCAGCGTTTACGTGTCTCTGTCGGTCTTCGGGGATAAGTTGACACCATATCATGTCACAGGTTGTCAAGATTGTGTGTAAAACTTTGTCATTTTCCCTGTAGAATTTGGCACAAAGACAAAATTCCTTTGACCTCGTTCCCCAACTGAGCCTCCCCCTTTCTCCTACCTGCAGCAAGCACTCTGCAATGGTTAGTGCTGAGACGTCTCCTCCTGCCTGTTGCCTTCCTCTCCTCTGTTTGTGTACGATGTCTTATTGTTTTGCGACGGTTGCTGCTTTGTGTTCATTTCATCTGTTGCTTGTGCCTCCGGTGCCTCTTGGCCAGTTAAAAGATATGTGTTATAAAATCAAGTGAGAAAGACCGTCAGTCATCCTGATCGTTTCTTTGACTTGTAAAACCAATTTCAAGTGTGAAGAATCGCAAGAATAAGAATCTATTTGACTCGTGCTAACTGATTATGTCCTCACATGCTGCGTTCACTGAAGAAAATAAATACAACTGGCAAGCTTTTCTCATGTCTGTTAGTTTTTTTCGGATCATGTCTTTGCAGCAACAGCAACCACAGCAGCAGCAGCAGCAGTCGTCGTCGTCGCCCATGTATCCGCCGCAGCAGCCTCAGCTCTGTGTGATGAACCAGCTGAAGGAGCAGCTGGAGGAGAGGACGCGCATTCTGCAAGCTGACATTCAGACGCAGCAGCAGGAGCTGCACGACATTAAGGAGAAGCTTCACCTCGCTAATCTCCAGGTAACACTCTCCCATAAAGACAAAAACACAACCACCATGGCATGCAGCACTAAATCACTAAATCAAAGGAAAAAAAGATAGCCACAGACTTTAATCGAGACATTTAAGTAAGTGCTGTTACTGTAATTCAACATCATATTCTAAGCTCACATTACCTAACCCCTCAGAGCGATGGTGGAAGGGCCCCACCAAGAGGCCAGCACAAACCAGTTCAGCCTAAGTACACCATCAACTCCATGACCTCCATAACAAGCACAGAGAAGAGGCTCTGGGAGTGTTGCGGTGTTTGTCTAGTAAACACAAGTTGTCACACGTCATTTTGCCTGCTGGATGTGAAGGCGACATGAGATGAGCTGTGATTTGAAACACAAAGGCAACAGATTAACAGTTAGCCAATCAGAATGAAACCGTAACCTCTAGTCTGGGCCTTTTCGGTCGGATTGCGTTGCCTCGCCTTTACCCCCGCCACCCCTGAGTTGTTGCCCCGCGGCCTATTCCGAGGATTTACGGACCTGACGACGGGGTGCGCTCGCGGCTCGCGTCTGGCACCAACGGGATGCGCCCGTCATTCAGAACCTGAAAACCTAGTGCGGTGCGGCAGCCTCGTCCTGGCTGTCCGCCGTGCGCCTCCGGGTACCCAACTCTCTTAACTCTCTGCAAGCGTTTTTGATTAAAAAAGAACACCAACTACAATTTTAGAAGGAGCTCCAATGGTGACTAGTGCTATTTTTAGAACATGTCTTGCGGGCGACTCGCGTGGTCCTTGCGGGCGACAGGGTGCCCGCGGGTACCGTGTTGGCTACCTCTGCTCTAAGGCATTACAGACATTTAAGTAATGGAGGATAGATTAATATTTCTGTTTATGTGTGTGTAAGATGTTGTTACAGCAGCCTGTCCAAAATGACTTTGGCCAGGCCCAGCAGCAGCAGCCCCAGCAGCAGCAGCCCCAGCAGCAGCAGCCCCAGCCCCAGCAGCAGCAGCCCCAGCCCCAGCAGCAGCAGCCCCAGCAGCAGGGATCAGGCCGGGCGGCCCAGCAGAGCCAGTCAAGGTTGACCAGGCGGCACTCAAGCCACTCTAGAGCACCGTCCTGCGGGGCCCACAATTCATCCTCTCACTCACTGAACAGCTCACCCTCAACACAGGTACAGAGCTGCACAAGTGAAAAATACAAAATCTCGAACCAACTGTGGTAAATCTGTCCAAAGAGTTTGGAAAGCTGTCCTCTAATGTTAAGAGGATCAATATTGAATCAAATCACCTTCAGTCATTAGCAGCTGACGACTGGTAGCCTACTTAAGTGCTCACGACACCATCGTTAATGTCGGTCTGTTATTTAAAGGTATAAACATCACAACAACAACCAGTGGTATTCAGTTTGATGGCCATATGCTGCTTGTAGTTTGTGCTTGTTTGCACTGTAGTAAAAAGACACAGACGCCTGATGTTTCAGGTGATGGAATTTAATAATCACAACATCAAATATACACTTTTTTTTGCCTCTCCCTACTTATACTGTAGTTTCGCGCAGGAAGGAAATATCTGCAGATTAGATACTTGGCTAATGTTTAGTTTTTACATGCTGTGTGTGTGTGTGTGTGTGTGTGTGTGTGTGTGTGTGTGTGTGTTTCCTTCGTTTCAGCAGGTCCAGCAGAGGATTGCACGGAGAGTGCAGGCCCAGTCGGTGAGCGTGCCCGTGCAGACGAACACAAGTGTGACGATGCCCTTCTACAGCAACCCCATGATGTTCTCTCAGACCAACACGAGGTCTCTGCAGGACGCGAACCAAAGACACACAGACGGCGAGTTCAACCAAGACGGACAACTACGGTGAGAGACACTTAAAACCACAGAAGACATCGGCGGTGTGGCATACTCTATGGGAAATTACTAATATGCCGTCAGGTTAATGAATAGCAGACGCAGTTAGCAGGGAAAACATCTTCATTGATATTATTTTCATGAGGAAAAATGCTCTCTGAAACCTTGCTTTTTCACAGTACAGATTGAGTTCTCTGTGACCGGTTTTGTTTCCCGCAGCATGCTCCTCAACCAGCCAATGCAGACGCTGGTTCCCACTGGCAGTGTCCCCTCGCAGCCTTCCCAGTGCAACATGGGCATCTCCCAAACCATGTGAGAACCGTGTAATTCCACGGCGCACACACACACACACACCTCTCCCTTTGCAATGGCGCTATTTCATATTGTGCCTAAGTTCGTCGTTGTGCCCTCCCAACAGATACACCTTGGAGCAGCAGATCATCACCCCGTCGTTCTCCATGCAGCAGGTCAACTGCAACGCCGTCCTCGTCCCCTCCCCGGTCTTCACATCCCCCATAATGATCCCGCACAACAGTTTCATCGCGAACCAGTCCCAGTCAGCCTATCAGACTCAGCCCCAGGCTCCTCAGCACTCCCTGCAGCTACAGCAGCCCCAGCAGTTCTTTCAGGTACGCCGTGCAGCGATGACTCGTAACTGCAAGTAATATGTGACGGCTCGTCGCGTAACGCAGCTCAGGTTAATTACCGTTGGCTCTATTTTAGCTGATTTATGATAATTTTAGGCATTGCACTGCATCTAAATCCTTGGTTACCACAGCAACAGGCTGCTGTGTCATTCTGTCAGAGGGCCGTGTTATTTTCAATCGCTCTAAAACCTCGGCTGTGCGGCAAAGCTCTGATGTAAGCTAAAATTCATCAGGTCAGATATATTATGTTCACCAGACTTGCTTGTCGCGCACATGTCACAAGTCCATTTTCCATACCCAAGATTTTATAAATCATGATTTTCTTGTGGGAATTACGATTGCAGCCATGAATCATAAAGTTGTCATGTTGTGAGGACAGCATTACGTCTCTGTATCAGGGCTTTGATTCAGTCTCTCTCTAAAGAGTGCGCTATTTTTCCACTAGCACTTTATTCTGCATTATAACAAAACTACAGCAAGTTAAATGTCAGCCCAACCTGTTGTGCCAAAGGAAAACATTACGTTGCTGCTGGGGCTCTGTTGTGCCTGTTATTTGGGCACAGTGGTAACTGTTCATTTAGTAACTCTTGGAGGGACACACTATTGATGTCATGGTCCTGGATTTGTGCTTAGTCTGTTTCCTGTTTTATTTTGAAAGTTCACGCTCATGTGTCTGGTTTTACTTCCTGTCTTTGTGTTTTCCCGCCTTTGTGATTGTCTGTCCTTGATTTGTTCCACCTGTGTCTAATCACCGAGCTGTCCTTGTGTCTTCAGCAGTGAGCTCCCTCGTTCAATGTCGGGTTGTTCTGTGTTTGTAATTAATGTTCCTCGTTCCATTCCTCTTTAGTTTCCCCCCCTGGTCTTAGATTATTACCAGCCTGCTCTCTTGTTCTTCGGAACTAGCTTTGTTACATTAAACTTTGCCTTTTGTCCAATTCAACCTGCCTGCAATTTAAACTCATCATTTTGGCTATTGCTAAAAACACTCCTCATGTGTGATTTAACATTTTAAGCTTGAAATCATTACAAAACTAAGGACTGTATGTATCTTTGCATTAGAAACAAAGTAAAGTCATTCTGATGATGGTTCAGGCTTAAGTTCCAAGGATTAAATTGGCAACCGATTCATGTTTTCTTTTGTGTCTACAGATGGCTCAAGGACTTGTACACGGCGGATCTACTCCAGCATTCTTACACACCACTAACGTCCCACAGCAAAGCACTATGGGATACATCCAGCAGCAGCAACTGCCGCAGGCACAACAGCAACAGGCGCATCAGCAACAAAGGCAATACCAACATTCCCAAAACCAGACGGGCAGTGTTTCAGACTTCCGAAATATGCTGACTCGGTAGCGGCCGTGGACCGTGTTAGACCGGCCGAGATATCCCACTGTGCCGTCGCCGTGTGGGCGGCAGCACTTCGTGGCCATTTGGAAGTGAAGAATTGCTTCTCGTGACCTTACTGCTGATGTCTGGCCGCCCACGTTCAGAAGAAGGCGGTTGAGCACGTCGCCGGAGTGAAACCCACGAGCAGAGGCTGCACTGACCCGGACGTCATCTGCAGGATCCACAGGAGAGTCTGAGGGGCTCGGCCCGCATCGCACTCAGTCGCCAATCGGTGAAACAGCTGGAACGAGTGGATTATCAAAGCTCTCAACAAGGCACCACTTTCACATGTTTACAAGGGGACGTTTTTCATCCAAGAGAGTTTCCTTCTAAGTGTGTGTGTGTTTGCACTTTGGTCCCGCCCCCTACCAAAAGGTAGAATATTTATGTTTGCCCCCTGAATTAATATTCTATTTTCCTCACTGACGACAGCTCGACACCCCTCCTCCCCAGCGACAATCATCCCCTCTGGTCAGATGTTTTTTTAGCTCCAGTATAAATGGCTCATCTCATAAAAGTGTGTACACGGGACCTCGACGTCAATGTTTGTTTCAGTCGGCAGATGACAAAAGTCCCCAAAGCGATCATTTGTGAAACACGCAGCCGTGAGATGACTGTCGTATCTGAAATCAGGTCGGGTAAGAATTTAAATGTAACACGACGATGCTACACAGGGATGCTGAAGGGAGGGGGGGGAGGGATGTTCTCCAATTATTAGAAAGGTCTATCTAGATTTTTAAAGCCTCAATCTGGGCCTGCAGAAGGGACGCCACGACTGTTGCGCCACTTTTTTTTTACTGAGAGGACAACAAAGCTCTGAAGTCTTCTGATGAGTCCTGAAACGAGCTACCGGAGGGGGAATAATTAGTGCCTTTCACCGTGGGGTCGTCCGCGGTGCGGTTTTGATGGTTGTGTCTGATTACGGCTTTAAAAATCCAGCTCAGGTCCATTTGGAATACTAAAGTTATATTTTCATAAGTCATAATTTATTGTTTTTCCTGCATCAAATTGAAACAAAATGACATCCAGATTTGTAATGGGTGTATTACAAATATGTATTTGATGCTTTTTCGCAACCTTTTCGTCAGTGAGTCCAAACTCTTTTTGAACACTTAATGTAGTGATGGTAGCTAATAAGATTAATTTAACTATATACGGAAATCCCCAAATCCCTTCATGTTTATTTATTACATACAGTCTATATTTGAAACAATATATTGGATTGAGAAACTAGTTTTATACTCGAAGGTTTTAATTGATTTTATGTGTTCATTGAGACAGCGATACCCCTCCTGGGTTAATGGTTTAATAACACAGCAGTCCGCTGATGTGTGTGTGGCTCTTATACCCCCCAAAACAACAAAGGGCTGCAGAAGCGTAAGCTTGGAGATTTAAAAATGTTGGAGAAATGATTTGGGAGATATTCTGACTGCTAACAGTATTACCCCGTTTATTCTGGTCATTCGTTTTTTTTTTTTGGTTTATTCCACCATCAGAGAAGTCACTAAATTTACGCTCTAATCGTGACCAAATGAGCTCATTTACATAAAAAAAGCAATACATTGCTTCCTGCTATGAATGTGATATTGTCGTTAAAAACGGACACACCGCAAGAATTTATTTTATTTTTCTCCAATGTATTATTGTTCCGAATATCACAACAAAAACACTACGTTTTGACGTCGTCTGGAAGTTGCCCACGGCCGTTCTGTGAGTATTTCAAGATGTTACAATCTGTTCATGTGCTTTCTGAATGTCAGTCCTCTGAGTTCATCAGATGAAGGAGATCTTGTGCCACTACTCATCAGCTCTTGTAGCTGCACTCCTGTCTCACACGCTTATTTTGAGTATAAAGTTAAGTCCCATTGCAGCGCTGCAATAATGGTGAGATGACCACAAAAAGACGGGTTTGAGTGTACCGGTGGAGCGACAGTCGAACTACTTCCAAGAAGAAAACGCAGCGAAGAACATGCGAGAGTCTCTCTTACAATCTGATAACTTGTATACAGTATGAAAAAAACTGCCTGTCTCATAGAGTCTGACTTCACCATTTGAATTTCAAAATCTATCTTTAAATTTGTTCCTGGATCACATACTTGTTTCCAGCTCGGCAGGAGAGAAAACAAACCCAGTTTATCGTGACTCAGCGTCTCCTGAAAGCCTCACTGCTCCACTTTATGAGAAGCTGACGCTCAGCGTGACCGTTCGGTCTGAGCCGCACAACATCACTCAAGACTGGTGCTGGTTCACAGTGGACCACAAGCACACTCTACATGTACGAGCAGTGCTCGTTCACGCTTTCCCTATGTGCAATGTCCATTTGAAAAAAAAAAAAAGAAGAATGTTAATTTATACTGTTTTTAAATGTTTCACGAGGTGTATAATAAGCCATTGTACCATGTAAATTATATGGAAGTATTTTTTTTTTTAATGAAAAATGTCCGAACATTCCTCCAACCGTTTATCGGCAGTATCTTTTCTTTTTTTTTACGGTATCACATGGTGGTGCAGACATAATTAAACACAGACACTCTGGAGTAAAAGCTCATATACGTTCACCTTCATCATGAAATGAAATGTCCTCATCAAGCAGAAGGTCTTTAAAGGGTCTTTTTCCCTTTTATTTAAATGGCTTTTAAGAAAAAGTGCAATTGTTCATCATCGACATCTGTTTTTAGGAGGTTGAGGGATGTCTGAGTCTCTCTGTGTGTATTTCTATACGTCCACATTTGGTATAGCAACAGTTCAGCTCAGCCAGCAACTCAGAGGTGCCATAAATGACTATTTTTTACTTTAATTTTAATCACTGAAAGAAATCTAAAGATATGTTCAACCTTTCAGTGAATCGCAGTAAAATTTCCCCTTGAGGTTGTTTCCCATTTGAACGCCAGAGAAGATTTTCAAGTGTGTATTGCTTCACACGCGTTATTGTAAATAACCCATCAACACGGTTTGTCTTGTAGTTCCCAACAGCATTTGCAGCACCTTATTTTATTTATTTTTTTAAACCAACTTTCAGAGTGCTTTCCTTCTTCATGGTTTTTTTTTTTCCATTGCGTGTCATTGTTTTTGAAGACATGTGATTCACGTGTAACTTGTGCTTTTTTCTGTTTTTTTGTAAAACAGTGACTGACGTTAAATGTAAGTGTGGAGAGTCCGATCGATGCTCTGTGTGACACGAACAAAACGAACCTGGTGCACAGCCACCTCTGCAGCTTCAGTGCAGAAACAAACATTGAATATATTGTATAATAGAATGTAAAAAAAAGAAGTTTAAACTATATATAGTTTATTATTATTTTATATGTCATAGATTATATATGTATGTTAAATTACTTTAAAATTAAAGTAATTTTGTAACAGATAATGAAGTGTCTTATTAGAGGAGGAGAGGCTTTGTTTTGGTGTTGCACAGTCGCCTGTATGGCTCGTTTTCTTTCCGTATTCACCATCAACATAAGCTTTAAAAATATCGTTAATGTTTTTAAAATAAATTAACAAATTAAGTTTACATTCTAAAATATCTTGATATTAACTATGGTATATATATATAGATATAGATACAGAATTATTTATAAATCAACCTGGATATTGTGAAATATTTGAAAATAAATATTTTTAAACATATGTATTGTTATTCCGAGCAAACTTTATGTAGAAAATGATTTATGTACTGGATTGTTTCTCAACTGTGTGTCCTTATTGCAAAAAGCCTTTTTATCTTTATAGTGTTAATCTATGAAAAGGGTTTGGCAGCGGTACTTCTATACAGTATTGTGCAACGAGGTTTCAACACTTCTCTCACACAGCAGAGGGCCGCCCATATGATCACATCACACCTGCCTGTGATTTCACTTTCACACTGATTCATTTGATGTCAGCCATCCAAAAAAATAAATGAATCCATTGGCTTCTCAAAACAAGTCGATTTGCTGCTTCGAGGAGTTCAAACTTGCAGCGTGTCGGAAGCTGACACCTACTCTGTCAGTCGGAGTAAAAACACAGAATTCTGTCATAAAATGTGCAGTTTCATGTACTTCAGCATTTGAATTGATTGCATTGACATCTTCCTTTTCCTCAAAAGCATCATTTATTGAATGATGTGACATTTGCTGTACATGTGTAAACAGGTAATCGAAGACATTTCAATGACATGATTAATGTGTGCTGCTGATCTTAATTGAGAGAAACCTCTGTCACTCTGTACACCTTGTCGACCAGGACTTCCACCTCGTCTCCACCCAGACTGCAAAGGTCCAGGACGCACACCACGTGCGTGTCCTCCAGCTCGACGGCAGTCGCCAAGACCTCCTCTGCAAGACAAACATCTGGGCCGTCATGTTGATTTCTGAAAATGCGCTGCTGTGTATTAGTGATGAAAAAAAGATCTTCAGGTCAAGGCTGAACCGAACGAGGTTTCGGTCCTCTCCCTCTTCCACCGGTGTGCGTTTTCTACCTGGCTCGGGAAGCGCTGATTCGCTGTTGCTGTCGGCGTCGCCGAGCGGACAGAGGAAGCCCGACGACAGGCAGGACAGCATGGTGTTGCCGTGGGGATCCTGAGGAAGACCAACAGCCCGGGGCTCGTCTGAGCTCACAACCGGCAAATATGCAGCATCCACGGCTATCTGCTTGTTTATGCCTGTCAGGGAAGTTCAAACAAAAAGCAGATTGGCAAACTGATTTCGATGTTTAAAACAGCAAAGATTAGATCAGAGTATCTCTTAGGATAAAACATTACCTAATATTGTTACTTGGTAGTACCCCGGACACACCACAGGAGCAATGACGTCTGCGTTCTGCTCCGCCGTCCACCGCGTCGGTTGAAGGTTACTTTGCCGCAGGAGGACGTTCTTTTCGTCGAACGTGAACCTCCGAGACACGCTGTCCCGGTACAGACCGCCTCGGACCAGATGTTCGGACACTTCTTGTCGTTGCTTCGGCCAACTGCTGCTCTCCCAAGATAGTACATCGGCGTCTGATGGACACAAAAGGTGTTAACGCGGTATCAGTTACATGTTAGGTACACCGCGGTGGAGCTCTGGCTCCTGTAACACACCTGGATTTAGATTTTGCAGCTGTTGGCGGCATTCCACATCCTGAGCCTCCTCAGATCCAGAGTCACTCTCTTCTTCTTCTTCTTCAGTGTCTTTATGTCTCCTGTAGGAGCAGAAACAGATGAGCTCAGAACCCTTAAACTGGAATACCGATGAACACTACCAGCTGGATCTTCGGTACCTTTTCGCCAACGCGCTGACACAATTCAAAGAGGACTGCGTGGCTTTTCTAGCGGGGAAAAAAGATAAAAAGTTGATATTTTACATCTAATTTATGGTTTAGAAACTCTCCTTGATGAGTTTGCTCCTTTCTAGCCACAAAAAGTACAATTATTGATTCACGAATCTGTTGGTCAGGAGTCAAATCGTACCTCGTTTGAATTCTTCTTTTCCTTGCTGGGATTTTCTCAGGAGAGGCAGATGTTGAACTGGCCGCCAAAGTCTGCTCAGCTGTTGAGGGATGGTTGTGAGCATCTGTAGAAACATCTCGCACCTGCATGAAATCAGTCGAGTTATTTTTCAGTTTTAAAGGTCATCACTACTCTCGGAAACAATGCTTTGAAATGACGTCCGTTACCTCTTTCTCTTGTGTTCCCCGAGACTCTGTGGTCTTTGGGTTTTTCATGTACCGCACTGCCGTGATCTGTCCTTGAAGTGCAACTTTTTTATGTTCCCTATATTGCAGAGTCTCCAACTCCTTCTTCAAGTCAGCCGCAGCAACCAGAGGAGCTTGAGCTGCAGACGGAGCAGAGAGCTTTCAAAACAACAAACAGGTGGTACACTAGACTCCACCTTACAGGACAAACCGATGTCTATAAGTAAGTAGTCTATTAATAAATTAATAGTCGTCTTATGGGCAGCTTGAGAGAACAGCTTTTACAACTTCAAATGAAGATGCAGAAGGAATTAACTCCCTGCAAGTAAGATGCAGAGCGCAGGTGCAAAAGATTTATCTGGACTGTACAGTGGGCTGGCAAGAAGTGCAGGAAAACACTGACCCAGATTCTATTTTATTCCTGCCTCCCACAAGAGAACAGAATGAATCACAGTATGGTTCAGTACTGAAGAGGACTTCATCATTTCAGGCAATTATAAAAAATACATTTTTTTAAAGAATATTCTGGGGCTAATCGGTGTATTCTGAGATAGAGGCCATGTTGTAAAAACATTTTTTTTTTTTTAATAAAACCATTCTATGTTTATTTTCTTCACTTGAGACGTCCGCCATTGACTGTGTGAATGTCCCAGGGGGCCGAGGGTAGCAGTAATGGCCACCGACAGCAGTCTTCTGGAGGACGATGTTGTCCTTCAGAGTTTTGGTCCACTGGATGAAGCTTTTCACTCTGGGGTCGCTCACATACGGCTGACCTTTGTGGTGGCCTGTCGTGGAGACGGATGACATAGTGACCGACGCCATCACTCACCACACCACATTGTCAGGTACTTTATTGCTGCAGCTGTGCTCACCTGTGATGAACGTCTCGGTCTCGTTGCTGCTGGTGAGGTAGGGCAACGAGCCTTCCACCGGACAAACCCTCATCTGAGTGCACACCAGGTAGGTCACTGTGGCAGAGAAGACGATGCATCGAGAAGGGTTTATGGAAATGCGGAGAATATGGAGTGCAGGCAGCAGAGCTGTCGGATAGGAGCCGACACCGCTGACTTACTTGGGCATATACGACTGAAGACTTCCGGGTGGGAAGAGGAAAAAACCTCCAGGATAAAAGGATGCTCCGACGTTCCATCCACCGCGTGGATCCAGCGGTAAGTCCAGTATTTTTCTGGACCTAAAAAGGTGAACATTAAAATATAAAAAAGGGAAATCAGCAGCTTTACTTCAGTTGTAAAACTACTACTTACCAGTTTATAGATAGTGAACATTTTTTTACCCTTGTTCCCTTTACTCTTGACTCTTTCAACACGGCCAACAAACGTCACCAAACCGATGACATCACACGCAGAATTGTTGGAAAGGTTTTCTAACTCTGACCTGCAAGATACATTCATACCATGAATCACTTTTGTTATAACAAAACTGTTTGTCTTTTGTGCATAAACCACAGCAGTAAATAATGGCACAGCGTGCATTGTGTTAGATAATGACGAAATGTTAAACTTTAGATCGATGCCTGTTCTTTACCTGGCGGTGAATTGGTAGGAAACCTCGGGCAACCGCCACTGAGGCAGCACACTCTTTGGTGAGATCACGGTGATGACTGAAGTAGGGTTGCGAAGGTTCAGGCTGATTTCTTAGAAAAATACATATGGAGACATTACATGTATGCCTGTGGTTCAGCCCTTTAATACAAAACCCCAAAAACCAATCTGTACATACCTACAGAGTGAAACATCTTCATTCGGTAGTGGTCCATTTGCGGGTGTGATCGGTTTGAATAACTCGGCTTCAGGGCGTAGTTTTGGATGTACAACACGGTGCCGACGCTCAGCCTCTGGTAGAAGTCTGGGCAGAGTTCGTTCCAGAGCACGAGGGACATTGTCCCACTCTGGTCAGCCACTTCAAAGTAGGTCTGGAATATGACAGCGAAAACAAGTAAGACCACACTCTGATCTGCGAGATCCCGATCACATCTCGTTATTGCCGCTCCAAATTCTTAGGAAGTTCAAACTCACGTAGAAAGGATAATCAATCTTGAGGCCAAACTTCCCATAATAGCGTAATCTAGATTTGTGTAGTATCTTCACGAGGAGAGGGAGAGGCTTCCATGTCTTTCTAAAGCAGGACTCCAGACTACACAGCAGAGTAATCGTGGACACTGTTGAAAAAGAAGACATTGAGGACAACACATCGTCAGGATTTTCTGTGCAATTTAGTGGCAAAATGTCATGCAAAAATAAATCTTAAATACATTTTATAAGGAGAAGCAATAGTGCGCTAATGTGCCAGCTTTAGTGCAAATATTCTCAACAACAAATAGTTTTTATGGCGTAAGACTACATCTTGTCTAGGAAACATTCTCAGTGTCAGCAGACACATTTGAGGATTTATTTGCCTTTCTTTGTTTTCAATCATTATAAATATATTAGTTTGGTGTTTTGATTGTTGGTCAGACAAAACAAGTAGTTTGAAGACATCACTTTGTGTTCTCAGGAACTGTGACGAGCATTTCCACAAATTTGTTGTTTGCCAGGAGATAAATAACAAAAATAGATCAACAAATTGATGACAAAAATTGTTAGTTGCAGCCATGCATCATATCCAACTTGTTCAATTCACAAAATTGTCTTGTGCATAAAAAATATTGCCACAATAGGACACATTGGTCTGACAAAGCAGCAAATGTGAATGTGAGCCATGTGAACAGATCAGTGTGGGACAGACGGGTCATCTCACCATCCAGCACCGTGTCGGATGGGGGAGACCCGGAGGTCCAGATGTCCCCCTCTGGGTCTTCGTTGTTCCACAGAGACAGGTAATGTTTGCGGCTCACCTGGAGAGGAACGTCGCTTTGCAGCAGCACGCTCCTCTCCATGCCGTGCTTGACCAACATGGGCAGTGAACCGACGTCCTTGACGCGGGACAGGAGCGCGGACCTCTCCGCACCACACCGGAGCTTTTCGATGCACATGTAGCCGTGTCCCAGCCTCCTCTCGTTGTAAACGAAAGAGCACTGCGTGATGTCGATGTCGGCCCCAGTCCGCAGGGTGTTAGTGTGCACCAGGTGATTTAAACTCGGGTGGACGAAGCATTTGGCTCTCCAGACTCCGTCGGTGACCGTCACGTCGTAGCTGTAGCTGTCGAGCTGCTGCTGCCCGTCGGTTTGCTCGGATAAATACCGCTGAAGTGCGATGACAGCGACAGGAGCCGCCGCCTCGTCCTCGGTGTTTACGTTCAGAGACTGTGTGGAGGATAACCGCTCCAACGTCCGCTGCAAGAAAGACGCTCCAGAAAGACCAGCGACCGTAGAAGAACAAGAAGAGGTGTCCTCCATTATGGACAGGTAGCGCTAAATCAAGTCATCAAGTTAGCTGTCAGAGAGCGAAGGTAGCTGCTGTCACCAGACTCTCATGTTAGCTTGTTGGCTAACGCAAACTAGCTTATGTCCTACACGCTTTTAAACATACGCGGGTTAATTAGTGGTACCTGGGTGAATGTAGAGTAGACGTCTCTTACTGCAGTTACAGTCAATATCTGTCGGTCTCGGATAGCCGTTAGCTACTTGGCTAACGAAGTTACCGTTACTTCTGTCTAACGGTGCAAACAACACGGTTGCTGTTTGATTGCGTCGAACAAAGCAAAAAGTGCGCAAAATGAAAGAAATAGTTTAAATACTTTATTTACATGTCTGACGTTAACATGCAGAATTGTTTTAGCCTGAGCTAAAAGCTAGCCGACTAACGTAAACAGGATGTGCATGACGTTGTTTTTAAATTCCGCGCTGAGCAGGACCTGACCTGACGTCATCAATGCGACGAGTGTTAGGCCCAATCCCAATGTCCCCCCTAAACCCTCAAACCCTGAACCCTCAAGGATTTACTGACGTCACCTGGTAAGTGGTTGAGTGTGAGAGACTGTGAGGGCTTGAGATGGTGTAAATAGGAATGGGACAGCACTTTATCACGTTACCATGAAAACGGTCAAAACTGCTTCAATGACAAAATCAAATATTGAATAAATAAATTAATAGATATCCTCTGATTTCAAGTTTATTTTTTGTTTCATCTTTAACCCTTAACGTTTCTGTGTAAATGTAATACTCCAGGCTGAACACAAGTCAGCCTTTTTAAAATTGATATATTCAAGCTATATATTTGTCGAGTGAAAGACTTTCTCCGGCGACAGCTCGGATTTTCTGGAGCTCTTCGCTGTGTGTTCGAAACCGGGCGGAAACACGTATTTTTTCCACTTCGGGATCATCTTTGAACCCTTTGTATCTGTGGCACGAATTCTGATTGTGTAATTTCAACATTACTGGCGATTTATTCATTCAACCTCCTGATCCGGGATCTAGGATGAAGAAAGACCGGGAACGGGACGAGCTTTTGGTTTGGTACCTGAACGCAACACTCTGAGTTTCTGTATCGAGCTGATTCTAGAATGTACAAAAACACAATGCCCCTAAAACATCATATAAAACAAATGACCAGTACATTAAATATGCAGTATACATATATACATACAGTAGATGGTGTATTCATAAACATATTTACGATATAAGTGCTGAAACAATAATCATCATTATGTCAGGATTGCTGCTTCTCTGAATATCTGTTGGATTTGGAAAAAACTATTAAATAAATGAATGAAAAGGATTGTTATTTGATACGCTGAATTAAAAGTATAAGTAAGTAAGTCAGTCCAGGTGATTTTTATTAATACAAACTAGATATTAACTATAGACAGATGAAAACATTGAGCCACAATACAGACAATCATATCATGAACATATTGTATTTATTCTAGTGCAATGAATGTATACATTCTAATACAATAACTGTATTTATTTTAATGCAATAACTTATATGACGCTGGGACGTCTGCCACTCAAAGGGGACAAACAGCGCCCCCAACATCGCGCTTGTGGCCAAAGATATCTGACAGCCGTAGTGATCAGGAGTACCATATAGAATGAATGGAGAAAGTTAAGAGAGTTAAGACTTATGTTTCCACTTCAGGATCATCTTTGGAACCTTGAACACAGATTATAACTGTGTAATTTCATTATTACTGGTGACTTATTCATTTTTAAATGACCAACTTTATCTTCTTCTGAAGTGATTGTAGAATCACACATTATCTCTTCCTTCATAACTAATTGATTTGTTTAAATATTTAGAAAAAGCTGACAAGGCTTCCCGAATGAACTTAGTTTTGTTTTTATTATCAGTAACAGTCCCTTCAATGTTCAGCTGCGGTATACATGTGTTTGTTTCTAGTTTAAAGAAATATCAGATATCTGCTCACCTTGTTCTAAACATTTCTGCTTTTATTTTATACGTCATCTAAATTATTCATTCAGTTCATTTTAATCTGTCCTCTTCAGATAAGTCTTCTGGTGGTTCATCACAACGGGTTGCGAAACAACCCCTTCCTCTAGGATATAGATAGGAAAGATAGGGAACGGGACGAACGTTTCTAGTGGTACCTGAACGCATTATTTCACCGAGTTTCCGTAGTGTAGTGGTTATCACGTTCGCCTCACACGCGAAAGGTCCCCGGTTCGAGACCGGGCGGGAACAGTTATTGCTTTTCATCATAAATGTTTAAATAAATATGACGTCAGCCGTGACTGTGATGACAGTCTGTTGTTAAATATAATATGTTCATTTCTTGTCGTGCAGTTGGGTCGATAACGACTCCTGCAGAACCTCGGTTTGACCCACAACAACAGATAAAGTCATAATTACCTTAAATGCAAAAGATACAAATTCACAAAAGAATAAATAAGAAAGAACTGCTACTTGGTGAGTGTTGGTACACATCTTCCATGTTAGTGAGACTCTCTGAGTATCAATCCTCCATTTTCACTGTTCAGTGTTTAACTGATTCATCATCAGTGCCTCATTGTGAACTAATAATCTCCTTGTTCGTCTGATTTTGTCTCTTTTACAGCAGATGGATGAACTATTTGGTGGAGGCTGAAGCTCCAGAGACAGCGACCCGCAACCCGTGGCATTTCCCATGGAGGTCAAGGAAAAGTGGTTAGGGAAGGACGTTAGGAGTCATTTTTGGACCTTACCCCATGTCTCTCTGTAGTGTGATGCAGGCCCAGCCTGAGAAAGCAAATACACAGAGAGAAGAATCACAACTGAACCACACAACATTCACAGATGACTTTATTTTATGCTGTGAAACCTGCAAATGGTTCCTTGTCTTCTTACTCAATTTCTGAGCTGCAAGACTTAGTTTAACCAGAACAATAAAGATAGCAGGTGACAATAATGACACTAATGGATGGGTCTGTTTTCTCCATGCTGCAAGTCAAATCCCTCAAGAGTGAACTGAATGGAAAGGAGGTCTTAACTTCCAGGGGGGGGGGCCATGTCTCCCATGATATGCATGGTCTGCATGGCATTATTCACCACATGACTGCTCTTCACAAACTCCGCTGTGGGCTCCCAGTTGACGATCTTTGACTTGGGGACACTACAATCCCTGCAAAACACGCCAGACCATCCTATCACATGACTGTACCAAACATTAAACAGTACAAGTAATGTCTTTGAGGAATGAAATCTTTTTGATTGATTGCATTGTATTTACACAATGTAATGCACAGTGTACATTGCACAGACAGAAACTTATTTATAAGGGGAGAATCTAATTACATGCATTTTGAGAATAGGCAAAGTGAATTTCCCCACGAAAGACAATCTGGTTATAAATCTGTTTAAATAAGTGAGCCGGTGCTTCACTTACATGGTGCGTCTGTCCTGCCGTCTGTGTCGCACGCTGGCCATCCTTTCAGCCAGGAATGTGGGGCTGGATTTGGTTGTGGTCAATAAGTCAGTGGAAGTCTGCTTTCAGGATCAGAAAAACAACAAGCTGCTTACAAACACATTTACAGACAAGAACGGTGGAATCCTCTTGGATTGACAGCACTAACTAACTTGTTTGTGTGTAACTCCAAGGTGTCAAACAAGTTAATTTTACTGTAAAAAATGTCACAGTTATCACAACTATAAAGATCCTCACTAAAATGAAAAACAGAATAATGTTTGTCAGAGCCATTGTCTTTTCAAAGTGATCAGAGGAACCAATGGGCTTGGGCAAAAAGCTTATGAAAAATATCCCAAAAATATTCATAATATGTGAAAGAAATTGTGGAAAATGTCCAAGAAATATGTGAAAAATGTCTGAAAATCAAACGCGGTAACGTCAATTATTGGATGATTGTGTTGTCATAGGATACAGTTTAACCTACCAGTTGGTGCAATGGAAGACAGCTGGTGTAGCGGTCATGATCGGTGTATGTGAAAATCCTGTGATTACGCCGGCCCTTGGCCTTGTTCAGGGCCTTGACTTCTGCGTGGTACTGACGGTCCAGAGGGGTCTGACATGTTGCCTCGTTCTGGAACAGCTCCATCTCATACTGGGACCACAGACAGAGAGGCGTGGAGGTGAGGAGGTGAGGTTTAAAGCAATAATAGCAAAATGAGCATTTACTCTCGACCTTTAACTTGTTTTCAATCATTGTAATATGTTGAGGATACTTAACAAATCAAAAGTGCTACCTGACTGAAGAGTTTCTCCTGCCAGCCCACCTCCAACTCCTCCTCATTGTCACCTGGTGACAGAGTAACAGAAATGTCAGGTTATTAATACATGCTGTGGAGGAAACATCTACCCTAAAACATGTATGCATGGTTTAATACAAGTTCTACACAATATCTGTTCCATTTAAGTCAAACAGTCAAGACATACTGTGTTACTGTGTAATAATGTGTAAAAGGCACACACAAAACGAAAAGTACTCGCTATCAGCTGTCATCAATAGTTCGGATGACTACTATTAAACCAAGTTCTAAGGAGTTTGATGTGGACAAGTGGAAACTCTAACTGTCCAGACCGACCATCAATTTCACCATCAGTCCTTCTCCCAGAATACAAATGTTTGTACCCGTGTGGCCTTGTGAGGTGAGGGTTTCCAGTTCAATGGCTCCTCTGTCTTGCTGGGACAGAACTTGCTGCTGCAGGTGCTTAGAGAGGGCTGCTGTGGAGGTCACCCTCTCTAGACGAACACTAAAGCAGGGGGGGGGGCAGGGACAAATAGATACGGTGATGAGATAACACGTCCTGAGGCTGGGAAAATTCACCACCATTATAAGTGATGTTTCTGGATTGCATTAATGTGTATGTTGCATTTTACTGCTGTAGAACTACATAGCTATACCTCTGAGATGTAGTGGAGTCACATTAACACTAACGTTTAAAGTTGCTAATACTCAAGTAAAGTACAAGTACATCGAATGTGTACTACTTGAGTAAATTCCACCACTGCAGAACGTATAGTAAGAAGTTGCGCTTAATACGCTTAATTAACCGAAACACCGGCTTCCACTTGAGAGCAGCGATCATCAAATATGAAGATTAATTCGGGTTCTGAGTTGTTGTTGTGCTGATCTGTTACTACTTTTGTACAACATTAATAACGTAACTGTGTGGATACAGCATGGCGTCGTTTGGGACCGAAGTGCTCGCCAGCTCTGGCAAACTGGAGAAAGAGGACCTGTCCAGTAAAATTAGCAAAATGTCGCGTAAAGTGGAAGATACGAAGGTAATCTACTAGCTAGCATAGCATTAGCTACGTCAAACTAAGTAAAGTTTGAACCAACGCTAGCAGTTAGCGCTAACACATGAAAGGCATGAAACCTCTCTGACCTTTTGACCAACGCTTGCTACATTTTCACGTTTATCCGTGAAATAACACGCAGCTGCATATAAACATTAACACGAGCCATTCAATTAGCTACTACTATCCAGATAGTTTAGTTCAGTGCATTATTATTAGCAAGTCTGTTAGCACGTGTGGTAGAGAAGACTACGTGACTCTGTTATAGTCAATTAAACTATGCACCGTTATTTGAATCCGGCAAGCCCTGTATAGTTGGCATACGCTGACAGCCAATGAAATTGCAGCATTATTAACGCTGTCCAAGGTGCTCAAAATCCACTTTCACATCGCTGGTTTCAGCTCCTGGATGCAGGTTCGAGTGTCACTTCGCGCTAAGCCACACATCAATGATAAAGAGCTATTTATAAATCAAGAAATGTTTATCCAACTTTACCTTTTACTGATTATCACTAGATTGTAGTGGCAGATAGATTATCAAGTACTTGACTTATTTATGGCTATTAACCTATTATATTGTAGTTTTTACTGTTGACTATAATGATTCACGTATTAATGAGACATGTAAACATTAGTGAATGAAATATATTTATTAAATACAACAGGGACAGTAAATATTCCGCGCGGCGGCGCAGGTGGAAGACTGGGGTTCGATTCCCCGACGGGGAGTAATATTTATTTTCTGTTTGTTGTATATTTAGTACTTTTTAATGTATTTTCATGTTTTTGAAGAGAGTAAAGAAAATAATCCTGAATCTGCTAAACCTGTGGTGAAGACTGACAGGAGACTAAAGCTGGAGTTACAGACCTTCTGATTGTCGCTATAGTTTCCAAGCTTCGTCCCAGAAACGATGCCTCAACTCCGCCTACATGCTGCTCAAACGCTCTGCATGTTTGAAAGCACATACCTGTGTGAGCAGCTTTTCTCTGTGATGAAGATGAACAAAAACCCACACAGGAGTCTTCTCACTGATGCACACCTTCACTCCATTTTGAGGGTTTCCACATCAGTCTTCAGTGTAGTGAAATGCTATGAATCAACTAAATGGATATATGATGCATTTATGTGACTGTCAGCGGTGGAAGAAGCATTCAGATCATTTACTTAAGTTAAAGCAGCAAGTACCCTACAAGTGAAAAAAAGTCCTGTATTCAAAACCTTAAGTAAACATGTGTAAGTATTATCAGCAAAATGTACTTAAAGTATCAAAAGTAAAAGTACTCATTCTGGCCCCTGTCAGTATTTTACAATGAAATAGTTTATTTATCTTAAGAAATGTGAATATTTTCTCAACACATCAATCCTTCAGTATTTCGTTTTACTTAAATTAAAGCAGCAAATACTCCACAACAAGTGAAAACATGTAAACAGTAAACATGTGTGAGTAATATCAGCACAGTTGAGTATCAAAAGTAAAAGTATTCATTCTTTGTTTTGTACTTAGTTACATTCCACCTCTGGTGGTTATTAATAAGATATGACACATAGTAACCTAATAAACCCTCATAACCCCCAGAAGACGTTCCCTGAGTTCAAACGCTCCACTACTGCCCCCTACTGGCCTGGACAGACTCCAACACTGATATACTCAAAATGGGCAGAGAGACCACTAATCCCCAAAATACAGTTTATTTTACGTTCAAATAAAATACATTAAAAAAGAAATACAAGTATACAGCACCACAAATATGAATGTAAGCACTCCGCATTTATTATACAGCAGGTCTGAGTCTCTTTTTCAGGAGACATCTTCCTGTCAGTGCATGCAGAGTGCACATCTTGTAGTGGACAATTATGTCTGAGGGCTCCAAGTTGTCGTCCTAATGTGTGTCTGTGTTGTCTTTTAAATACATTTATAAGGTTGTTGCATTTAGTTTATTGCATCTGGTTACATTTGCATGCTGAGGTCAATACTGCCTCTACTGTAAATACTCTGTGTACTCTGACTGCTTACATGATGCTACACTTAATAATCCTGTTGATGTCACAGAATCGATTGAGCCTTGAAGATTTGCCTCTAAATTCTTGAGATGTTTCATTCCCACGCTACCTCATCTGGTTGAATTCAAAACAAAAAATCAAATAAAAACTGCAACAAATTTGCACACTTTTGTCTAATGTATATAGTATGTGATCCTTTGGTACTATTTTATATTCTAGTTGTTGTAGTTGGGGTGTATATATATAGGGTAGTGTTGACTTATAACTGTATATTTACTGTTGTTGTGGATGACCTGCTGCTGTAACAATAATTTCCCAATTTGAGGTCAATAAAGTCCATCTATCTCTACATATCTGACAAACTTAGAGTGTTTTCGGATCAACTTCCCAAAGTGGTGTTTGTGTGGAAACTTGAGAAATACAGGAAGGAAAAAAAGGATAAAACAAACTCTAAATTTAACAGCTCATACGATTACCATGAAACTCAATGACAAGCGTCGTCGGCCTCGACTACATGACCGAACCCTCTTTCAAAGCTGTTTTGACATGACGCTATAGAATTATGATCCATAATGGATTCCACATATTGATCAGAGGAAGAGGTGGCAGCTCCTCATAGATGCCATTACTGAGCCAGACACCCTGAGAGAAAGCCTACCACCCCGTCAGCGCCCGAGGAGACGGGGTGTGAGGAGTTATTTATAGCATTAATGGATATGTTTATTACAGTCTCTAATAATAAATGTTTGTCACAAATATGGCAGTGTTGGGATTTTAAGGGCTTCCTATGCAAAATTGGAATTGTACTGTTTATCATCTTAAGAGGCCTGATTGTTGTAGAAGATGCTTGTGATAAGGAGCTACAAAATGTGAAAAGTTCATCTAATAAATTGTTATCATGTTCCTCAGTAAAGTGTGAATCCAACATAAGATCAAGTTACTTTCTAAATTTGTTCAATACACGGTGCATTCATCTTTAAATTCACCTTATTAACTTTCTGCACCAAGACCTCCCTGAAAGCTCCTATTCAAGTTAGCCCTCATTAGTTTATCATTGAGCATCGAAGAGGTGCAGCAGGTTGATGTAGGAATCAGTTACCTGCTGTCAAAACCCACTTCTGTTTTCCGGTGTATAGAGCTCAGGAACCTCACTGGACAAACAAACAAACAAACGAACAACATGATAACGGCAAAATGGAATCGGCGACACGTTTATTAAAGACAATAAGGTCTTTTAACAGCATGTGACTCAGGAATCATTACAACCCAATCCTTAAACCTGTCAAACCTCTTCACGCGTGGTATTATAGCCAACAGCTCCATCCACTTGCTCAGAGCACATGAGGAAAATCAGCACATAATGCTTCCCCCCCCCCCTCCCCTCTCTCTCTCTGTCACTGTGATCAATTTTTCGACTTCCTCCTTTTGGAGTGGATAGGCTGAATACCAGAACACAGGATATGCTTCGCAGTGCTCTCAGTTTCACAGTAGCAGCAGCAGCAGCAGCAGCAACCACCGTGAGGACGACACGCTCTGCAGTCAAGATGAGTGCTGGGGATGTGGTCTGCACCGGCTGGCTCATTAAATCCCCTCCGGAGAAGAAATTAAAGAGATTTGTGAGTAGGAGTACACACCGGACACTTGTTTATGTCCTCTGCCAGCAGTAGAAATGCCAGGTTGTGCTGCTGAGCCTTGTCTTGTGTGTGTGTGTATATGTGTGTGTGTGCGTGTGTGTGTGTGTGTTACGGTGTGGAATGATGATTTAGAAACATACTGTGGGTTTGTATGCGTTTGTGTAACTGAGCTGTAATCCTCTCTCCTTTTACATCTTCTTCCTCGTTTCTACAATGACGCCTTGCTCTCGTGTTCTGGCTTCTGGATGCACTTCATAGTTACAACAACAACAACAATATGTTACAGCCTGCAGATGTACTTCAGGCAACATGGAAATGACTCCTACAACAAGTATATGTAATTGCTTACACGGTCAGCAGTGTTTTGTGGTTGTTGGGGGGGGGTGTCATGTGATAATGCTGGGCTGGCCACTCTGTGTATGTGTGTTTGTGTGATGAGCGTGTGCATTGTGAAACATGGGAAGTAATGTCAGTCAGACAGACTTAGGTGACAAGCAGAAATAGTCCAGCTTCATGACGGCTGTTTGCACTTCCTCTGGACCAATGGAGGAGGAGGAGGGCAATTTGTCAACACCAGAGCAGGGCCGGGGGGGTGGGAGGTGTGCATTGATGGGGTCTCGGGGCGGTAAATAGAAACTTGTTTTAGCACACTATGCAAATCCTGTAGATACCAGAGAACAAATTAAATACATGTTTTTCAGACCGTTGTATGGGCGGGCACACTATCTGACTCAGTATTCAAATGTCAAGCGCATGCTATCAAATCATCACGGGACAAATGCTCTGTGGCATCCTGATGTGAAATGAAAATCTTCACACAGCATTAAGAACTTTAAAGAAAACGACGTAGCGTGTCTTCTTGATGGTCCCAAAAGGGGACTTGTTTGATTGCAGCTTCCACCTTGTGTAGAAACAGAAGCATCCACAACACTTCATTTCACCTCACTGTGGTGAAGTTGGTCCTTACTCACAAGAGACAAACGTACATTATTGTCACTGCCACCTTTGAGGACATGTATTTTATTCAAAAGGCCCTATGTCACTGTTTTCTTTAATACAAAGTCCATTGTACAAATATTGCAAATCTTATTAATTAGATGCTGTATACAAACATCTAATATCTCATGCTAAGTACTGTTGTTCCCATCATTTCAAGACTTTTGAGACTGGATATAGTTTTGCATTTTTAACCTCTAAATGCAAAGGCCTTTTTCTCTGAAAACATTTTGACTTGTCAAAATGTTTTCAGAGAAAAAGGCCTTTGGTGGAAATAACCAAATCAATGATGGATGAATTCTATTTAGCTGCTTCAGTTTCAGGGTCCTGGTGTTGTTCATTCTGGCTCGCTGTCACCAGTGTTGAATAGAACAGACCTGTGCTTTTGCTTCTATGACAAGTGAAGATGTGTGCTGTGAAAAACATCCGAACTCAAGGTCCACTTCACGGTCCTCCTGTGGATTAAGGTCACTCTTAGGTCACAACTAATGACAACGAATCAAACTTCGTCTGCCGAGGAAGACCATGAGATGTGGTTGAAAGCTCTGGAAGAAACTAGTCTGTATCTTTCCTTTTTGACAATCCTCAGCTTGTTGTTTCTGACGTCCTGGCTGTCATCGTGTTAAACATGCATGGTATCCACAGTGGGAGAACATGTGGGCATTGGCCTGCAGGTAACAGAAAGAAAAGATAAGAAGTTGACTTTAATGAAACCAGTGAAACCTCCTGAAGTGCTCCGTCTTCACTTGAAAATGAAAACAAACAAAAAAATGTGGATCCGCTTCTACTTTCACTATATTTACAAAACAACTCATTTTTCAGAGCTCAAACTTTCCATGTTCAAAACCCCTATAGGATAGAATAGCCATCTGTCGAGTTACGGTTTCCTCTTAAACTTGGCAGTGTTTTTCGTGGTAAGTGTGGCGTGTCTAACCATTTCCTGGTACAAACACTACCAACTGACTTGTGCAGGAGCAGATTACCCACACGCAGAACAAAGAAAAAGTTTTGTTTTAAGTTCACACCACAAAATTAGCAGGCGAGGCTCCACCCCAACAATGCACACAGTGGCACAAAAACCAAGAGAGAAAATATACATCCAGCATTACTACCCTTATGATTTGTTTTATTATGAAATATGACACCGACAGGACTGGGGGGAAGACTGGCACTCTGTATGCAAAGAGGGCTCAGACGTTAACATATTACAAGTAGATCTCAGGAACTATAAATACCTGTTGAGTTTCAGTGTTACGTTTTCAGTAAGACCTCAGTGAAAAGGACTGACCAAGTATAAATACCTCTTTCGGTGTGTTAAAGACATTTTCTGCTAAATACAACTTCCTCTTCTCTGTACTGCTGGGAAATTTGAGTTGAGGTTCCTCTTACTGACCAAATCAAAAGCCAAAAAAACAGTTTAAAGTTCGCTGTTGTGAGCAGGAGCTGTGATCTTATTCCCAAGACTGGTCATGACTAATGAGATGGTGGTGGTGGGGGGGGGGGGGGACTGTTAGAACTATGCAATACTGTGAATAATACTGCACAGTAAGGATAAAGTTCACACTCCATGATGAACCTTTTGCTCCCTTTTTCTCCTGCAGGCGTGGCGGAAACGCTGGTTTGTGCTTAGAAGAGGCCGCATGAACGGCAATCCCGATGTGCTGGAGTACTACCAAAGTAATAACTCCAAAAAGCCGATCCGCACCATCGACCTGAGAGAGTGTGAGGTCGAAATGCTCAACGGGCAGCTCAGGATAAAGAGAGACTTCCACGGGAAGCACCTCTTTGTGGTCAAGACCTCATTCCGTGCTTTTTACCTGGTGGCCAAAACTGAGGAGGAGATGAACAGCTGGATCAGTAGTATCAGTCAAATTTGCCAGTTTGGGAGCCTGGAGGATGCAGGTAAATACACACCACTACTATGACTACGACTACTACTACTACTACTACTACTACTCACAAAGTAATGGGGTAAAACAGAAGGTCATCCCATTCACTATAGTTGCAATTCAGCAGATCCACTCTGCTGGTGGACATAAACAAACTGTTTATATGGTGCTGTGTTGCAATTTCAATTTCTTTTGTCATGCCGCAAAACGCCCAAAGTTGAGCTTTAAGTGAGAATTTGTATATCTGCTGTACTTACAGGTTGAGTTTTCATGCTTCGTCAAACCTAAAGTACTTCATTCTCTATTTTAATGGAGTCTAAAGATGACAGTTTTTGATAAAAAATGATGCAAAAAACATCTGGAATATTTCCACGGTGTTTTGTATTCTTTTTGGTTTCTGTGGTATAGTGTGAAGCGTTTTTTATTTACATTTTATAAAACAAACCAGAGGGAAAATTTCAGGGGAACATCGAGATTTAAATGAGTAAGTTTCCGTCTATCTGAAAGATCCACACTTGTGGTTGAAGTAGCGAACATTAAAAACATTTTATCAGCTGAGCAGTCAGTTTCAGCACAGTTGTGCTTGATACAGAGCTGTGGACTTTTCAGATAGATTTCTCTATAAGTCACCTCCTAAAACCACACACACGATCTCACGTCATCACGCTGTGGTTAACACCATTTGATACAAATCATTCTCGGTCTTCTTCCTGCAGCATCAGAAACAACGAGTAGATGCTGCATTATCCTAAAATGTTAACATTAGAAATATAGAGATATTGTAACTGAATGTTTTCACACAACTCCTCTGGAATGGAAGTTAATTCAGATGAGTGCTCAGGTCAAGCAAAGTGCAGTGTTTAATGATTCCAGCTGTTAAAAAAATGTTGTAGCTGCTCCTTGCCTGATGTTGCCGCTGTATTAGAGGAGATAACCGCAGATCAACAGCGAGCCGAGGTCCTATTCAGATTAACAGATTAATGTCATGTTTGTATCATTTCCCTTAACATGCTGAATCATCTTGCTATCACTTTTAAAGGTTTTAATTGACCCATGACCACCGAATTCTTAAGGCGTTGACAACTATTTCTACATTCAAACTTCTCCTGCTGACACATCTAGACTCTATCAATCTATTGTCAGAGCGATGCTGCTGTGACCTTTGCTCTACTGTGATATTTGGTGAGGAAACGTGGAGACATGTCTGTTAGAACACTGAACCTCTGTGTGAGCGAGATAGAGCAATGTGGCTGATATGCTGAACTGCGTGTTACCGTAAACACACACATACACACACACACACACACACACGTGGTCGATTATGATGCAAAATTAGATTCCACACACTAAACACTGAACTTTAGAATAATGTTATGTAGCTTCAAAGGGTTTTTTTGTTTTTAGAGTAGGACTGCATGGACCTCAAAAGGCTTCTGTGCTGTAGCGCTTCATCATTTTGCAGAAGAGATTAAAAGGTTGTTCTGCACCCACAAGAGAACACAAACCTATATTAAGGGTAGAAAATGTTTTATGAGAACATGCAAGACTTTGGTCTCCCCCCCGCCCCCCCACACACACATGGTTTCGCAGGGAGAACCTTGACTCGGCGGCCTTGAGTGAAATGGAATGAAACAAATTTCTGAACGCGAGCCAATCTGACTAAAAGATTGGAGGATGTATAAACAAAAGAGGCAACAGGCTCTACTTTCAAGGTGCCTTGCAAAAAAAAAATACCATTCCTCTTTTCAAATTCACCTGCTTTATTTACGGTACATTGTAAATTTGAGTGCCGGCTGGCAGAAACCTGCATGTGTGTGTTTGCTTACAGTTTGCATCCTTTAGCCAGGCCCTTAGTGTCAGCATGATGGCAGTTTTCTTATCACTCCAGACTGAGTAACGTTTTTCAGAAAACTCCATGATCTCTGCTCTGCTTGTTGTCAACAGAGAGCTCAGAAGAAGGCTTTCCTCACACCCCCACATCAACTCACCCGTCCCCCAACAGCTCTGACCGACTGTCTTTATCAAGCCAACTAGATGCAGGTCACCCGCTGGACTACCTCATCCTCTCGCAGTGTGAGACGGGGAGTGTGAGCACTAGTAGGTATGTACAATCTGTAAAAACCTTTGACACAAGACGAAATGACGCAAGTAGTTTAATGTTTAACAAATGCAATGTTTTCATCCCCCCCTCTCATGTATGTAGACATGACAGCTTTTCAAACTCTGAGATCTCTCTGGAGCAGAAGTCATCTGACGAAGGCGTGAAGGACTTTCTCCCCTCGCCTCTTTACACCGATTCCTCGTCCTCCATTTTTCATGCCAGCCCCAGTCCGTCTCTTCTCCACCACGGAAGGTCGACTAACCCCCCCTTCAGTGCTCCGTGCCCTTCCATGGCTCTGCCGTCATCCTCTTCCTCTCCACTACGTCACTGTGCCACAAGTGTCTTCCAGTTTGACAAACCGTATTCCCCTGCGTCGTGCGAGGCCACGAGTGACAGACAAACGCCTCCGCCGCTGCCACCCAAGTCTAATCTCCTGTCAGAGCAGCTGAGTGATGACGGAGCTCACAGGCCGAGGGCAACCAGTGCACAGCATTTCTCAAACCACGCTGCGTTATTCCTCCGGAGGACCTCTTTGTCAAGCCTGGACCATTTCAGAATAGGTATGTCCTCAGTAGGAAAGCAGTCTCACGGAATGCATGACACAAAAAAAACTGTGAAAGCTGGGCTAAACAAAATGAATCATAATCCTGGTGCTATTATGATGAGGCAATGTACGTTTTCATATTGACAATAGCTGACTGTAAGAGCTGAGAACGTAAACTAATGTCATTTTCCAATCGTACATCTTTTTTTTTTTTTTTTAGCAAATGCCGATAGCAGAGCGATGAGGAACAGGAGGCAGAGTCTTAATCCGGTAAGAGAATCATCAACAGCAGAAAAAAACAAAGAAAACCATTGTGCTTATGGAGTAGCTTGACATTTTTGGACATATGCTGATCTGTTTTCTTGCCGAGAGTTAGATGAGAACATTGATCTCACCACTCTGTGGTGTGCAGCCAGGTGACAGTTAGCTTAGCTCAGCACAAAGACTGCAAACAGTATCTCAGTTGTTTAATCTGTAACCTAGAGTCTTCGCTTCACACTGGCTCCAGAAAGGATAACGAAACACAACCACCCAGAACGCGAAATTTTAATTTTAATTTTAAGCTGTTTTTTCTATGTAATAAACATGCAATATATACGTTGTGTTAATTAATGAAGGACGTAGATAAAGTTTCCATTGGACAGAGTCAGGCTAGCTGTTTACCCTTGTTTCCAATGTTTGTGCTAAGCTAAGCTTGCTAGCTGCTTGCTTCATATTTACCGTACAGACACAGAGAGTGGTAACGATATCCTCATCTAATTCAGTAATACGTCGTACCATTCTTTTAAAAAAAGAAATGGAGGATTGGAAAATGTACAACTTTAGCACACAGAGGGGAAGTATGATTTCTCTATGAATAAAAACGTATGCCGTCATAGTGACCTCGTCTGACCTCGTGATACTTTGTCTTTCAGCAGCCTTGTTTAAATACCACGCGGGTTCAAAGCTACCAGGACGAGTCGTACGTCCCCATGGCTTCCCCGACTGCCTCTGTTACCCCCACTGAATGTGACGGTTACATCCCCATGAGCCCCAGGATGCTCAGTTTCGCCAACACAAGCTGCAACGCTGAGTCCTCCCCGACTCTCGGTTCCCTAACGTGCCAAACTGGAGATCTTGCGCCGCCTCCCGTTCACCGGCATCTCAAGCCTCGCCTGAGGAGAGGTGAGAGTCACAACAGCCCCCGATTGGTTCATGTTACATGTCTTATAATTGTGTGGAAAACTGAGCTTTTATTTCTACTCAGTTAATCAGCTGGGCCTCCTCATGATCTTATCTGGACTTTAAACACGGTTTGTAAATGTATGAAATGATTGGAAATACTGACAATGAAATGTCGATACAGGATTCGTGCAGGTATCAGATACACAGATTTTTCCACACAATGATCTTTACTACCCGCCACCGTTTGAAAGCGGGTCTTTCCGCGGAATGTGACAACCAATCCAGTAACTTTGCCCTTTTCTGGGTTCACAGCTCGACCTCCGCCTCTTGACTTGAGAGGCCTCTCTACAATCACAGAGTGTCCCACTCATCTTCCTTTGAGCAGAGCACTGAATGAATCCTGGTGAGAGAGGGAAAAAGTATCTTTATCCTCAAAGTGTCATAGCGGGATCCAGTCATGTGGGTTAGGGTTACAGCTCAACAGTGATGTTCTGCTTCTCAGTTTCTTTTTCTAGAATTTCATATCTAATTGTTAATCCGACATTCTTCCTATTTTTTTGTGTTGTTGTAGCTTTTTAGCGAACTGTTTACCCCTTGAAAGAAGACTTGAGAACGGGGACAATCCAAGAGATGAAGACACAAACTGCACTGCAATGGTAACGTTTTACAGTCGTGGCAACACCTTTCAAACCATGCATATGTCACTGACTTCATTAATGATGCTCACCTTTGTCTCTAGCAGAGACTGAAGGAGGACTTTCACATATATATCTGTGTTTATTTTAATGCACTAAAAATATATTCAGGAATATGAAGCAATCTGGCATTCATGGCATGAAGATGGATTTCATTTATCTAGATATTATTGATGATAATTGATGATTGGAAGTAGCTCTGATGGTAATATATTTTTATGGCGTGGCTCACTCAGTCAGCCCACCTTTTCTCGTCCTTGTATATAAACATAATGAATCATTCACTTTTCACTTTCTCTCACGAAATGTAAATCTAAGTGTGATCACTTTGTGATCATATTGCAGTGGTTGGGCAGATCCGCTGTCTAAACACAGCAATAAAAAAGTGTTTTAATATCCATCATGTGGGCAGAAATCTTTAATTCACTGTTGACTTTAATATCAAAAGCCAAAATTAATTTCCAGGTAATTCCAGACGTCACTCTACTAGTTTTTATTTTACAGAATACTAAAAAAAGAACTAAATCTTACAGTCTTACAATTACAGGGCCATGTTTGAGTGGGAAAATGTGCTTGAATCCCCACACAGCTAAGAATGTGGGTGTGGAAAGTGACCGTGTGTTTCTGAAATGTTCTCCTCAGCGAACTGTAATCGCACTGGGGCACCTTCTAGGGAGTGAGCATTTGACAGTGTGATGTTGCACAAGGCTGCTTCTGGAATTGCTGCATATTTAATTGATTCTTCCTTGAATAAAGTCAGAGAAGAGTCATGAGTAAAGGCATATTAGTCACGTATCTCTTGTTGTACAAAAACATACTGACAGACAAGTGGATGCACTCTGGACACAAGTGGTTTCCCTAAACTCGATCAGTCTAAGGACGCCGTTTTTATGTAATTATTGACAATGCAGCACATATGAACCTATCTCATAGGTGTGTCTGATCCTTTTACCTGGGAACAGTGACGGTTCAGTAAGGTCTTTATTTAATCCTTTCTCTGACAGGAGTCCAGGCTCCCTTTCTGTCTCACCTTCGATGGAGCGGCTCAGCCCTGGGCGAGAAGATCAAACCTCGACTATTTATCACTGGATTTCAATTCTGCATCCCCCTCTCCTGTACAGAAGGTATGTTCTGATCAGATACATGGCAATGTCTTCCTCCTTTAGGTACAGACTGTGACATTGTTGATGTGACTCACCTAAATGCTTCACGCTTTGGTGTCTGAAGTGGAGAGGGAACAGCTAACACCACACGTGAATGATCTTTGACATTGTAAAAGGAATCTTCTTTAGAATTCAGCTCAGCCAGCCCACACTCAGCAGGGGTGTAGCATTACAGTCACTGCCTACTATTAGCTCCCCTGACCTGTATTATTACTATCTCAATGACCAAGTCAGGGCTCACTCCAAAGGGTAAAGAAAACCAGCTACAACTTGCCTGTAAGCATATTTTAAGACTGATTTCTTACGATGTCTTTACACAGCTTACTGCTACTATCATGGTAATGAAGAATTGCGTGTTGCACGACATCCCTTGCAATGAGAAATCAAATATATGATCCCAAAGAGTTGTACATCAGGAGGTCTACAGTACACTTCGGAGCATCAGTAGTTTGAATACATTTAGTGCAACATGATTGTTTGCTTGTACGTGTAAAGCAGAACCATGTTCATTTCTGGAAACGCATCACTCACCGTCTCCTCATCTCTCCCTCTCTATGTCCAGCAGAAGCCCTTTCTGTCTGATGAGCACAGAGTAGATTACGTGCAGGTGGATGAGAAGAAGACTCAGGCGCTGCAAAACACAAAAATGGAGTGGACAGATGTCCGGCAGTCAAAAACATAAATGGAACATACATCCGGGAAAGAGAAAAAATCAGGAACACTTTGTTTAAAGAAGAACAATAACACCAGCGAGGAGGACCAGAAAACAGATTTAAACGCACTTTGAAAAATGGTTTGGGAAATAAAAGTACAAGAGTTGGTAAGCAGTTTAATGCTTGTATATGGGCTGGAAACACCAAATTGCACTGAAAAAAACGTTTTCTCTCAAGAGATCAGTATGGTAAATAAAACCAGATTTTGCACTGTAACTATTTTTACTGTAGCATTACGTTTTACCAAATTTTTAAAAATGGCATAATTTTTCTTCATTGTAAATAAACACGTTAGACCTGCTGTAAATGTATGTATAGTGAATGTGACTGTAAATAAGACAAATATTTTAATGATGACATGTTTTACAGCTTCCTCCGTCTTCTGCTCTTTCTGTGACCCATATTGAAGATGATTTCCACTTGTTTTGGTGCTGTCATTACTCCAAGAGATTCTGGACACAAGTCATAGACACTGTTTCCTGAACATACCAACAAACCTTATTGAGGCTTGAAAATGTTAACTTTGGTCATACCGATTTGAAGGGAGATGACTTTTTTTTTGTGACGAGACATATCTTAATTCTAGCTAAATATCACATCCATCAGTCAAAATTCAAAGGAGACAAACCATCATTATCTGTTGTCATGAACAACATCAATGTTTTTTGGATATTTTTTTATTTATTAGTTTTGGTTATTTATTTAATTGTATAATGTCTTTTCTCCCTCTGTCTTCCCCCACTGGCATTTTCTAAGGTCTATGCGCTGTTGAGTACAAATAAAGTTTATATATTTTTTAAATAATAAAAAAAGCTCTCTTTCCCTTTCCCATACAAATGTGTAAAACAGAAAGATAAAACCATGATCATAGATAGATAGATAGCACATGCAGGCAGCAATATATTATTTTACAATTATTCCGGAATGGATAAACATGCATTATGGAGAAGGAACTCTTCATCGTCTATTTGTTTAGAAATAATAGTGGCGTCACATTTTTTCAGCATGCAATGATGTCATTTTTGTATTACATATTCATTATTATTATTATAACCATGAATAGTTATATTATTATTGTATTATAAAACACACGTTACACACATAGGTTATACACGTGGTGCGTCACTAGCATGCGTCAAAAGGACGTTCACGAAAGGAGGTTTGGGTAAATTACCTGAGAAGTCGGGGAGAGGAAGTCATCATCCGGTATTTAAACCGTAAACGCAAAACGGGTTCCTGTGAGCGTCTAGACTCAAATCGACATGCGTGGCTTAACTAGAGCAATTAATTCAGTCCCGAGTGTAGTTTGACCGCGTATTGATACCACACGGTCCTCGCTACCATGTGGTTTAACGTGTCACACTCGCGTTACAGCCACAGACACTGGTGAGTAACGTTGTTAGCAGACACCTCGGCTAGCTAACGGTGGAAACAAATGAGACCGTACAAAGCTTCCCCGGGGCCCCCGAGTCCTCCACACGGGAACCAACGTAGCCCGAAGTTAAAGTTAGCGTTAGCAGAAACAATGCATTGAAGGGGAACTTCGTCTTCTGCTCGGAAGAAACAACGCCAGCTCCGTGCTGCAAGGTTCTGTCTTCAGTTGGTACGTTTGTTTACATTACGGTTAGCTCCATCGCGTGAATGTGGTGGTGTAGCGTTTAGTTTGGTCTCCAACGAACATTAGGTCTGACTTAACGTGAGCTAACGTTACCGTGCATTGTCTTTGATAAGGCTCTCATTTGTAGTACGTTTCGGAGAAATGTTAAATTGTTTTTTTACTGTCCAGCTGTATCATCGTTACATCTGTAGCCTGTTGCTTCCTATCTTACGGGTTTTCTTTGATCTGTCATTAATGTTCACTTTTAAACTTAAATAGCCTGAATAGTTTGATCTTAGCCCGTCTTTCTCATGCATGGACGTGTGTTTAGATAAACAGTACTATAAGGTTTAACTTATTGGTTTAATTTAGTTCTATTCTCCCACTAAACAACTTATAGGCCTCCATAACATACTTGAAGATATATAATAATAATAATAATCATACGAAGACAATAGATTCTGTACGAGCATAGGGAATGTATGCAAAGATGAAAAGATCTAAAATGAAATGAAAAAAATAAAATATAACTAACGAGTCCTATTGGCTTTATATTGATGTTATAGTTTTGCACCTTTTTTTTTAAACATATTAAACACAGTCCAAGCCAAATAATATTGCACAAACATTCTTACATTTATGCATCTGGCTTTTTTTGAGAAGAGATTTGCTCAAATGACTTAATAGAGAGGAAACTTACTTTCAAAGTATGTACAAAAATATAATATTGCAAGTCACCATTATTATTCAACTTGTATTTCCAGACACATGAGTCCATCTACATTGTCTGAACAACTGAGGCAAAGGGTAGAAAAACAGGTATGTCTGTAATTACGGAGGCCTGGAAGGGACATGGAGGGGGAAAATGTGATCTTAAAAGAAATGTATGTAGCTTTTCACAAAATAAAAAATAAAAAGGTTCATGTGCTTCTGGGCTCTGTACATAATACACTAATCGATGGCGAAGGTTAAAAAGGCAGATGGCCACAGTGATACACAAATGACGACTAGAAATTCCAACGTTCTAATGGAATTATTGTTTAAAGTCTGCAACAGGAATCCTACACATCAATGTGACAAATGTTAAATGGATCATTGATTTTGGTTTCTTTGATACAGGGTTCACATCAGATGGAGGACAAATTCACCGCAGTGGTCCCGTCCGCTGGTTTAGAAACTCCCGCTGCCATGCCTTCCGTTGGACTGCTTTTGTAAAACGCGGCAGCCATGGCTTCTCGGAAGGCAGCCGAGCTACCGAGGGACACCGTGGATTTGGCTTCGGCCACCGCACAACCGTCCCGACGCGGCCCCGACGACATCACAGAAGAGCCTCAGCCGGATACGATGACTGCGACGGTGAAATCCCCGAAGTCTGGGAAATTTAGGAGAACTGCTCTGACGTTCTTCGGAGTTCGTAAAAGTATCTGTATTTTGCCGAGTTTTTTTGGAGGAAGGAGTAAAAATCCCAATAAGTGGTCTTCGAAGAAAGGAATGAGCAAAAGCAGAACACACGATGGGCTGAGTAAGGTCTGTCATGAGGACAGTGGGAGCAGTCGGTGCAACTCGGCTAGAGATTGTGAGTTCCTCGGCCAGAGGGACTCGGCTGGAGAGCTCCACAGTAGCTGTCGCAATGAATGTAGTCACTCCCCTGCTGAACAGAAATCACTGACTCTCACCCGGCAGAAAAGGGGCTTGAGGAGCCTTTTTCAAAGTTTCAAGTATCACAGAAACCACAGAAATGTTGGATTGGATAAAACTGAAATGATTGCAATGACCTCTCGCTGCAAGAAAGAGGTGCCTGTTGTCCAGGACAACACTGACCAGTATGTCACGGAGTGCCTGGGATCTGAACCCGATGTGCCTGATTTTGCAGAAGTTCCACGAGATGTTTCCTTCGGGCCTGAATGTATCGATGCCGACGAGGTGCCGTCGGAGAAGAGCGCGGAGCTCGGCAGCCCAAAGTCTGAGCTTGACGATGAGATGTGCGATGAGGAAACGGAGGAAATGAATTTGACGGCTGTAGTTGCCAGCGACTTGAAGGAGAGTTCGAGAGGACACAGCGAGCCTTGTCTGAAGCTTCAGACGACGCCTTCACCCGCATTGCAGTCGGAAACGCCCGCTGGCTCGTCGGAGCAGCTGAGCCTGATTTACGGAGACGTCGCCTCGTTAAAGAGCTTCGATTCCCTCACCGGCTGCGGGGACATTATCGCAGATCAGGAAGACGACAGCATCACGGAGAGCACCGTCTCCGGAGAGAGGAGCAGGAGTGGAGGAAAGAGGGCCTCTTGTTATCTCACCTATCAGGGCGGCGGTGAAGAAATGGCTTCACCCGAAGACTTGGATGAGGAGTGTCTTCATGACTTCTGGGGGAACAACACGTCGGAGGAAATTTGCTGCACTTGCAACCAGGAGCACACAGATTTGACTGCCGACCTGACGAGTTCTCACAACATGGACCTGCTGAACAGTAACAGTACGCAGCAAGCCAGCGGCACGGACGCTTCTTCGATCGCCGACGTGCTGACGCCCCAAAGTGAGCATCAAGAATCGGTTCCGAACAGCGACGAGGGCTACTACGACTCGACTACGCCGGGGCCGGATGACGGACAGGAGAAGGCCGACAGACTGAGGGCAGAGAGGTTACCCAGGGACAGTTACAGCGGCGACGCCCTCTATGAACTGTTCGCACCCGACGAGAGTCTCATCAGTCCGCATTACGAGAACAAACCGAAGCTGTCCACTTCCAAACAGTGCGAGTATTCAAGTGAGCCCGTCGGTGTGACAGACTCCGCCTTCGTTCCGGACATGAATCGACTGCAGATCGGCGCGGAAATGTACGAGGTGGCACAAAATATGATTGGTCGGCAGGAAATCGGCACAAATAAGAACTGTAGTTTGAGTTCAAAACCACAAGCGTCAGTCAACAGGAATAACATAGAACCGGATGTGTTCGAAAAGGGAACCATGCCTGCTTCCACTGAAAAAAGAACAAAATCCATAAATGCCGACTGTGAGAAACGGCACAGCAGTGTGTCATTCGGAAGCACATCCGACCCCGATTTTGAAACATTTTGCGAACCCAAAGAGCAAAACCTGGAGGAAAACAAGCCCGTGGCTTTACCGTACAGGACCATCAGTTCTCAGTCACCGGACGAAGGCAACGACTTGGACGACGGGCAAACTGTGTGTTTCTCTCAAGCGCTCGTGGACTACACGAAGCGCTCCCAGATGCTGAGCGACATGGACGACGGCGCGGACGATTCGGAGACGAACTCCGCCTTCACTCCGAACATGCAGGCCTTACCCACCATCGTCACGTTCGACGTGGTGGACATGCACAACGAGGGAGAGTACGACGAGCAGATTCACATGGAGCTGGAGGAGGACATCTCGTCGCCCTATCAGGAATTTGAAGAAAGCTACCTGCAAAAAGACGCATTTGCCGAGTGCAACTATCAAATGTTAGACCTGTATGAACAGAACCTGATCAGCAACACGTGGGCGATCGCTAGTCTCCCACAGCACCTCGCGAGAGTTGGTCAGCCCACATCTAATCCGTTATCTCTAGACCGGAGGAGCAGGTCTCTGGACACGGAAGGCCTCGAGTTGAAGACGCCCGGCGGATACAGAGAGAACAGAGAAAAAGTTCAGAGTCAAACCCAAGTCAAACGCAACATATTTTCGAGTTCACCCAGCAGCGAACGCGCCGACAGTAAATCGCTTCCTTCGCAGTCAGATTCTTGTTTACATCACAGCACCTTTGTTTATTCCGGAACGATGGACGAGGAATCGGATGAGGATGTTTTTTGTAACGCTGCCACTAACTTGCGGTCCTATAACAGCAGACCAGTGGCGAGCAGGGAGGGGACATCTCATCCCGCCAGTCCTCTGAGTGCAGGTGTGTCTAAAGGTGAAACGAGAACACCCAGAGAGACGTGGCCCGCAGCAAACTCACCGGAGGCAACCTTTTAATTAATCGGCTGCTGGTGTCGAAAATCCCATTTGTATGTGCTAATGAGTGCTTTTATGTTTCATCCAAAGGAGTAACTGTTGCTTCATTTTTATTCTTTTTTTTTTACTTGTACAACAGATTCATTTGACAAGTTGCTGTACACCGAGAGAGACGTGACACTACTCTGAAATGTGGAGAGCGACCTCATTGGGAAGTCAGAAGGGGATTGTCTGCTTTTCCCCAGTAACAGTTTCACAAAGGACACACACACAAAAGTGTTTCAGCAAGTGATTGTTTCATCTCATTAAGCTACTGAACTTTACTAGAATGCTTGTCTCCACACGTAGCCTCAGTGTCCAGGTCTCAATAGTAATGCCACACTTTGTTTGATGGCTCTTCATTAGCCCTGTGTTTCCATAGCACAGCCAAACGGGGCGAGCCAAGTCTCGCTTTCTCTGCCAATTGCCCCCGAAATCACGCGTGCTTTTGCTTTAAGTGCCGGCTTATGTTTACTACTTTTTTCACAGCCTCTCTTTACTCCAGTAAGGTTTATGTAGGCCTGTCATGATGTTCAAATATACTGTTTTTTTTTTACCTCTTTTCTTGAGGTACCTCATTTCCAGACAGATTGGGTTTAGTAAACAACGAGAGAATACATCAATTCACAGAGAGGAATAGTCTAGTCCACAATATACAACATTCAAACAAGTCATTTACATACTGTAGATGGCCTTACAAGATATCTACTTACCATAGCACATTTCACACGCAGTTATCCTGTATGTGTGAAAGTGATTTACATAACTGGTTGAAGAAATAGTCAAAGAGTAAAATATATATAAAACGGTGGAGGGGGAAAAAAACTGGTAGAACCTAATAGTCTCAAATTCACTGTTCTGCTTCTGGCCCGACAAACCGAATCAGCCTTACTGTGGGTGTTGTTGTTTTTCTCCCATTTTTTCCGACAGCTGGACCACCTGTGAAGTTTAAATTCTGACTGAAATGATGCACTCAACTTATTACATGACTGTACGCTTGTGGAAAACGTAGTTGGACTTTTGTTTTGAGATGATCTGTTAAAAGATAAACTGGTGTTTTCACCTTGTATCATTTTCTTGTGCATTTTGATCGGTTGGAGGTTAAACTGTCAGATGATGTAGCTTCTTTTATAGGGGAATACTGCAGAAATGTCAAAGAATTTGTATTTATATTCTCAGCTGTCTGTACACTCTTAACATTGTATTCAGAATGGTTATTACAAATTGGCAATATTGTTTCTGTTTTTAAAATGTTTTTTATTAAGTTACATCCATGTTACGTTAGGGGCTTCTCCTTGAGAATCTGTTACTATTTGTTACAGTAGAACACTGCCTTATACAAAAATAAACTTTTTGTTTTCATTTTCTTTTCTTTTTTTCATTTTCATTCACACTGACATTTATGAACAGTTTAAAGTTCAACTGAAACTGAGAAGGTGTGGAGTCCACGACCATCTTGACAGGAGTTGACGTGGCACTTATCTTTAATATGCACCAGATACATAATTCATTTTAATGTGTGGCTACTTGATCAAGCTTCTGTATTTGATTTAAGCTGACATTTTCAGCAAGTCACTCAATGCAATGAGAACATGTAGTCAAAAACAGTCAAGACCTCATTTCAATAATAATTTATATTCCGTTATGAATTCATGATAAAGTTATTCCCATTTAATTACCCCAGTTGGAATCCACCACTAATATGCCCTCGCTTCCTTGCGCTTGTGACCCGGGTGTCTTTTCACCGCTTAGGTTACTTGTTTCCTTCGCGTTATCTGGCAACCCGGACTAAACTGCGACAGCGCCAATGGCAGCAAAACAGAAGTGTTACAGGCGAGGAAGGATGACAGCAACAAGGTGAGATGAGCCCCCGTGTGAAGTCAACGAGAGCCGTGAAATGCGGGCACATTATGTAGAGGATGTCGTTGTGTTGCTGTGTTTCACCTCCGCGTGAAATAGCCGCCGATCGTCAACTTTATCTCAAGTTACAGCAGTATTCTGGCGAAAAATGTTAGCACACGCTCAAAAGCTAACTAATGTTAGCCCGTGGAGCCGCTGAATTGTCCGTTATTACTGTCGCGTTACGTTAGCTAACCTACCTAGCATTGCTACCGTTAACTGAATAGGCACCGTGTTGCCTGACAGGCTTCGTTGTTAGCGATATCTTCCGATAACCGCTATCTAACCGCTCTCCAGCCATTTTGACCGGCAGGATAAACCGAAGTAGGCCGGTGAGTTTATGAAGCTAACATGTTGACTCTCCAGCCGGTCAAGTAACGGTACGCTAGCATGCTAGCTGCTGTGCTAGCTGTGACTCTGGGCCTAAAGGATGTCAAACCAGTCATTCTCAATCACAAAGGTGACGTCGTGAGCAGCGCTAATGTTACGATGCTACACGAAAAAAGTGCATTGTGAGTATGAGAGCTCTGTGACTGTCATCTTGTTTAACCTTCCTTTTCACCCTTCTCAACTCAGGATGCTGTTGCTAATGATGTCAAGCACTTGAGGGTTTTCTATTGACGTGTCAACTAGTTATAGTCCATCTATAGGTTCATTCCACAGCTCGGGAGCTTTTATGTACTGTCACTGTCATCGGGATCAATGCAGCGTTTGAGTTTGGTTGCACATTCATGTAGTTTGATGTTACAGTGAGTCAAGGAAAAAACTGGCTGAACATGAGAAATCAGTTCAATCCTCACTTTCTTTTTGCCTACTTTTAATATACCCCCGCTAAAGGGGTCATTTCCTCGGTTTTCCTTTCAAAGTGATGAGAGGAAAAAACTTAAAAATAGGTCAGAAGAAGCTCACATCGATGGAGCATTGTTAGTTAGAAGTTAATGCGATATTTATGACATACAATACACTTGACTAATATGATCAATATAAAGCAGGAATCTTCAGGAAATTTAGTTTCCTTATTCAGTATAGAGAGAATAGGTGCAACTTCATATTATGTACCTGTGGTGCGAGGCAATGATGCTGATTTTCTGGGGTGAGATTAGTCTGTTGGCCTAAGACGTGAAGAGTAATGGTCCATGGGCCCAGTAATGACATGTGGCTAAATTTGTACTTTAAAACCCCCCAAAAATGACTGAAAAGATTTGCCTTAAGGTATCACTTGCTTGACTGATGATTTTACTCGTACTTTTTTGTTATCAATGAAAGATCTTCCTCTCCTGGTGAAGTGTTGGCTTGACCCACTGTGAGAGATCATCTACCAGTGGGTCAAATGGAGGATGTTGGTGTGTAAGATGACCAGTAAACGCAGTCTCATGATGATCAGTCAGCATCCAGTCTTCCCGTTGTAGCAGTAGAGATGTCATTGATCTAATGAGTGTAAAATAAGATAGGAGCGTAGTGCCGTCATCTGATTAATTAGTGTTTCTTGGTTCCATGCCCTGGATGACAGACTACTACGACTTCCCCTTGGATGTCCATTCTCATTTATCTTTGTGCTTTTCAGCTCAGAAGATAAGTTTATTTCTTGGCATGGATCATCTTTTTGCAGAACACACCGGTTACGTGTTGCAGTAGCCGCTGTTCAAAATAATCTCAGTTTTGAGTTTTAAGCCTGGTGAAAGTGTCACAACCATATAATACAGAGTACACAGTAACACGTACATGACATTCTGACATTCGCCGGTCTCAGGAAATAACAGCTGGATCTTTTTTTTATAGTGGTGGCTGCACTTCACTTTAAATATGTCAATCTTAATTTCAACATATCCAACTAGCCGAGTGGCACATGTCCCCAAAACTGACTATGTCCCTGCTTTATACTGGGTATACCATGTCGGGATGGCTTCGGGGACCTGTTTCACTTGTTGCTATGAAACAGAAGCACACGAGCCTGTGCATGTGCAGAGAGAGTCTGGAGGCCTCGCTGAGTCGATGCCTGTGAATCTGGAGGTGGATGGGAAAGGACTGGAAGAGAGCTCTGCTCCCTTAAACATGTTGTGAAATGTCCTGAATGGCAGTGGGATGTGTGATTTCCAACGAATGAGCCTCGCTAGTTGTTTTTAAATGTTGAAACCTAAGTTCTGTTCAACAGTGAGATGGTGAAATGTATACATTTGGAGCTGTAGATTGACCCTCAGAATATCGATCAACCTTCAGGGTCTTTCCATGATTACCAGTCTTGTGTATTACCTGATGATGTTACCAGTGACATAGTAGTAATGTGATTTTTATTTTTACTTTAATCTCAAAATATGCTGCCTCAAGAGTTTCAGTATAGCTGTGTAGTGCAGCTGTAAGTGTTCTGCGTTCACTGACTGCCTGAAGAGAGATGATGAGCTGTGTTTGTGTTAGTCGTGACTGGTTAAAAAAAAAAAAAAAAAAAAAAAAGGAGTTAGCTGATGACAAGGCTGTGTTGCTAAGCAACCCACATCACGGGCTGCGCCTCTTGAAGCTCGAAAAAGCTGAGCTGTATTCTTCCCTCTGCAAGACCGGAGGAAAGTGTAGTTCCAGGGCTTCTTGTTGTCGAGATTATCTGATTATTACCAGTATCCACATGTGGAAATGTCCAGATGTTTATGACCTGAAGTCCTGCTCTGCTTTACCATGAAAACACGTTCCCTCTGGGGTTCTGCTTCGATTCAGAGAGTCTGTCAGAGGGCTGCAGGCGCAGGGATACACTGTGCTGCCCACACTTTGTCTCGTTGTACATGCACTCACTCCACGTGTGTCTGGCTCAGACGCTGCTTTGAGAGACCAGCGAGGCTTCTTGTGCACATAGAGGCGACGGTTGTACTGCAGCACGTTAACACCTTCTGTGCTGGAAGACCGGGGCTTTTCATTTACATACAAGTCAGGTGGAGACTTTGCTTGTCTGTTGTATCGATATATTTATTTTACATATTGCACCTACAAGCAAGAGGTCGAGGACATTTTTCTTTTTTTGTATGTATGTATTTGTTGTAGCGTGGAGAAAGTACTTAAGTGACTTTCTGTACACGATGCTTTGCTATGGTTTGAATGTGCAGTTAGTTAAGGCTGTAAGTACATCATTGGTTGTAAATGTGTGAGAATCAGAGAGTTTGTAGCTGTGACATACAACCTTTCACTGACCGACTATTTAACCATCCAGTTTCACCAACAAACACAGCAAAAGATCAAAGTCGCCGCTTGTGAACCACAAACAGAAAAACACAGTCAGACAGTGAGAACGTGCATATGTACGTTATTCATATCAGCCCTTTTCCTGTGCTGCTATATATTACGTTTTTTTGTGGTGGTGACTAACACATTCCATGTGTCTAACTAAGTTTGTTACTTGCCCCAGATAGCAGTGTTTCCCACAGGTGGAAAAGTTCATGGTCTACCACAAGTAGGGTGGGGAGTCAACACCTACATTTTCAAATTCAGATTTTGTGTGAAAAGGTTTTGCACCCACATTAGCGTCAAATCATTTTCGTTTTTTTGTAGTGTTATTTAATATTGGCCAATAAACATTACATGTTAACCAGCAGTCACTCCCAAGCTGCTGCACAGCGGTGATAGAATCCGGACAAAATGATCACAGATCCAAGTGAATGACGGCTCTGCTTTTAGAGGCGACTAAAGTTTGTCCTTATAACTTTACTGGCGAGCTGGCACACAGCTCCGGACCCCCGTTGGGCTGGCCTACCAGTTTTGGAAAAGCTCAGTTTTGGGGGGGAAACGGTGCTGAAACAGAGAGAAAAAGATATATATTCACAAATTGAATCGTCGTTATGTGGACATTCTCCAAGGTGCATTAAAAGATGTCTGAATTCACAAGCTAACAAACTAAAATGTTTCATTCAAGTGGTCTTTCAACTGCTTTTCCAAGCAGACTTTTAAAGATACATAATAGTCCTTCTTGGTGGGCCTACAAATGAAGTCTATGTATGGGAACAGAGGCAAATGATTGGTTATGGTTCATTTAAACTGTAACGTATTTCACTGATTGAAACTTTTTCGCTCTCTTTCAGGATTTAATAGCTTGATTTTGCTCTGCCCACACGTGTTACTTTGGCTCCAAACAAAGAGCCTGTGGCGCTAAAGTCCAGCATTCAGCATGATTCCCTGGTTGCGGCGGAGGTGAGGAAGCATGGGGCGGAAATCTGAGGTGTCGAGACGAACGTGATGACAGTATGGTTGATGGTGGAGAAGCTCAAAATGGAAAAACGCCCATGCAGGGAGGAGAACATTGACTCAAGCGAGGCCCAGCATGCCAGTGACGATTCCGAGGACGGAAGCAGCTCAGAGAGCGAACCGGAAGAGCAGCAGCAGCAGCAGCAGCACCAGAGGGTTCGGGTGAGCGGCCGGTGTAAGAAGAGGGAGCCCTTAGCCGTCGCCAAACCCCACCGGCAGCTCTGCCGCTCTCCCTGCCTCGACCGGCCCAGTTTCTCCCAGGGCAGCACTGCCCAAGAGCTCCGCGAGGATGACGCCGGCGCCGGACCAGGGGCCAAGTCCGCCAGCGACCGAGAGTACCAGACCAAGATGGAATTTGCGCTGAAGTTGGGCTACTCAGGGGAGCAGGTGGAGACGGTGCTCACCAAGCTGGGGGCCGCCGCGCTCATCAACGACGTTCTCGCGGAGCTGGTGAGGCTCGGAAACAAGGTGGAGCCGGAAATCCAACCCTGCGGCAGCGCGGCGACGTCGACATCACGGCCGCCCTGCGTTAAAGAGGCCGTCAGCCCAGAGGTGTCGGTGGAGGACGACTCTGTGGACATGTTTGACAACCTCAGGCCCATCGTCGTTGATGGCTCAAATGTGGCAATGAGGTAAGACACACACACACGCACACACACACACTTAATTGGTCTTTTTCGTTGCGGAAACATTTGCCTCTAATCAATGTCCAATTTTGTGAGGTAAACGAAGCCCTTTCTACCCAATGTTTTATTTTTCTAGCCATGGAAACAAAGAGGTGTTCTCATGTCGTGGTATCCAGCTTGCCGTCGAGTGGTTCTTGGAGAAAGGACACAAGGACATCACCGTGTTTGTGCCCGCCTGGAGAAAGGAACAGTCGAGGCCTGACGCCCTCATCGCAGGTAGTAAAGCTGTTCGTGAGGCAGTTGCGGTTTGAGTAGTTGTAGTTGGCGAGGCAACAGTCAAACTACATGTAATTTGTTTTTCTGTGTATGTGACTGAAGTATGATCTTGTAGTGTGGTCTTACTTGACACTTCTCCTTCAGATCAAGAGGTATTGCGCAAGCTGGAAAAAGAGAAGATCCTGGTTTTCACCCCGTCTCGGAGAGTTCAGGGCAGGAGAGTGGTGTGCTACGACGATCGCTTCATAGTGAAGCTGTCTTATGATTCTGATGGAATTATTGTGTCAAACGACAACTACAGGGACTTGCAAAATGAGAAGCCAGAGTGGAAGAAGTTCATAGAAGAGCGTCTCCTAATGTACTCGTTTGTCAATGACAAGTAAGGATTCATTCTTATGGCTTCCAAAGTATTTAGAAATGCACTCTAGGACTATAATTCATCCACCACAATATAATGGTTTTTATATCAAAGCATGTTAGTGGTGTACATTGTTATTTATTCAAAACTTTTGAAAAATATATATGTGTGATGTAATCTATTTAGTGATTGTATTATGGTCTTTGCTAATTAGAAAATCGACAGCGACTCTTAATGCTGGAAACGATACAGCTGACATTTTTTTTTTTTTGAATAGGTTTATGCCACCTGATGATCCCTTGGGAAGACATGGTCCGAGCTTAGAAAATTTCCTCCGCAAGCGTCCTGTTGTTCCAGAGCACAAGAAACAACCTTGCCCCTATGGTAAGTTCTCTATGTGTCTTTTCAAATCATGGTCCGAACGATGTTGCAGTTTTCTTTGCAGAATCTGAGTGTACGCTTTTATTGACTTGATCTACTCTTTCTTCAAACAAGGGAAAAAGTGCACATATGGACACAAGTGCAAGTACTATCATCCGGAGCGCGTCAACCAGCCGCTGCGGTCGGTGGCTGACGAACTACGGGCTTTTGCCAAATTGTCCGCGGTGAAGACGATGAGCGAGGGGGCTTTAGCTAAATGCGGTCTTGGTCCGGCGACCGTAAAGGGGGACGGCAACTCCGAGGTCAAACGCGTGGCACCCAAACGTCAGTCTGACCCCAGTATTCGCTCGGTGGCCTGTGAGCCTCTGGAGGCGCTGTCCGTCGCGAGGAAGTCTGAGGCAAATTCAGTGCCTTCCCTGGTGTCCGCTCTCAGCGTGCCCACCATGCAGCCCGTCAAGAGTCACGCAGCTGGGGCCTTGAACACACGATCAGCCAGCAGCCCGGTGCCGGGTTCTTTGCAGTTCGCGCACAGTTCTCTGGAGCACATGTCCAGCGTACAGTACCCTCCTATTTTAGTTACCAATAGTCATGGCGCCTCTATTACGTACAATGAGCAGTTCCCAAAGTATGACTCGGTTAGCGACCATGGCTATTATTCACTGCACAGTGATTTTTCAAATATGAGCATGAGCAGCATGCACAATGTCGACAGTTTCTGTAGCATGGAGCACGAGCACGGCGTGTATCAGAGAAATCCCAGCCACTGCCTTGAGTCCTGCCTCAGCCATTCAAACAGTGACTCCTTCTCCTCTTACGGGGACATGTACCCGAGCTCCGTGGACAGTAGCTTAGAGGAGAGCATGAAGGGGCAGCAGCAGTCTCCTGCGCAGGGTCGGATGCAGGCTTTCTCCCATGGGTTTCGTCATGAAGCGCTGACTCGGGTGCAGAGTTATGGACCTGAGGAACCCAAGCAGGGCCCCCGCAAGCAGCCCGGATCTCGTCTGGCACCGCATATCCAGCACGTTGCGGTGGGAGCCAGGTCCAGCTGTCCCGGAGACTATCCCCTCACTCAGAACGTCCTCCCACCTCTGTCCTCGCAGCCCACACGGTCTCTCGGCATGACTCGCATGGACAGCATATCGGATTCAAGGCTATATGATAGCAACCCAATGAGACAGAGGCGACCTCCACTGTGCCGGGAGCAGCATGCAAGCTGGGACCCGCTGCCTTGTGGCAACGAGTCCTACGGATATCATTCGTATCCTTTGAGTAACAACCTGATGCCGTGTTGCGAGCGAGTGATGGTCCGCAGCATGCCGGACAAAATGGAGCAAATCTGGAACTCGCCGTGGGAGATGCCATCTGCAGCTGAACATCAAGAGCGGTACGTCATCCCAGACCACCAGTATCAAACATATCGGAACCTTTGTAACATCTTTCCCACTTACGTAGTCCACTCTGTAATGGAGAAGAACCCTCATTTAACCGATCCACAACAACTTGCCGCCATCATTGTTACAAAACTGAGGTCATGCCATTAAGCGGTTAATCTTATTAAACATTCAAGAGTGATGTGATAAGGGAAATACAGATTTTGATTGCAAAGATAGGCACTTAAAAATGTTGCTGCATGTGCAACATCTGCCCTCAGGAGTTTTTTTTTTTTTTTTTAAATGTCTTAGGGTGGGGAAATAAGATTTTACATCACTAAGATGACATAGAAGTAATCAGCTTAGAGGAAGTTTGTCTAATAAGTTTATCTCAAATTGTAAGATGTTTCACATTTGAAAGCTATGTTTTTCTATGAAGTGTGGTGCAGTACACCTTATTAGAAATCTGCTTCATAACACATTCATACCACCTGAGCAGGAGCTGCATACCAGCTTTGTACCATATCCACGATCAACTAAGCCTTTGTTCAACGTCATTAACTCTAGAAAATATACACGGAATACTCTGCCAACATTTAGCAGGGCTGTTAAATGTCCACTCAGTCAACTCTGAAAGAGTTCCTTTGATTTGGTTGATTACATATGGTTTGATGTATGGAGCTCCAGACTGTTCAGTATTAGGTCAATAAATAAGTTTTCATGAAATAGATAACCACAGGAATATATTGTGTAATATACATACATTTATTTATTGAGGAATTAATTGGATTTCTTTGTTTTATTTCTAAATATCCCCTCTTCAAGAATTTGTTTTTACATCATAAAGGCATTTTTCACAATGGCGCGTTATGTCCTGTAACCTTTTTATTTCATGTCACGATTTACAACGTCACTGTGGTGATGTCACCACCCTGTCACCTGTCAGCCAATCACATGCCCCCTGCCCTGCCTCTAGCTGGCAACCTTAACAACTGCTAGCAGATTTACTGTGTTCCAACACCCACACTACCAGACTATTTAGTATGCCAGAAAAAAAGATTTTGTATGTCAAATGCAGTATGCCAAAAATACCAGGATGTCCTACTGCATTCTTTCAGACTAATCTGACCCACAATCCTCTGCACAGCAGATTTATGAGCAAGAGGGTCAAAGTTAAAGGTGCAATTATTATGAAGAAGCTGAACATCCCAATTGAATGCATACTGCATCCTAAAAGTACGTACTTTGTAAGGGCAGCTGCACTCTGTACTAAAAGTAAGAAGTATGCTATCTTGTAACGCAGTGCCAGCCAGTCAGCACCCACTAGCTAAAGCTAAAGCAACAACGATGCTAAAGTTATTCTGAATTGGCTAACTAGAGGCTGCTGCTTTAAATAGACGCATAAACTGTCTTCTCCTTCTATTTATTTAACTTAATATGGCTGCACATAGCACCTAGCTGGCTAACTAGCTACAAAGGGTTGGTTTATTACTCTGCATCAAAGTGAAGAGCCAGTGTTGACAAGCTGCAGCTAATCAAAGTCACCTCAGCTGTGCTTTGATTCTGAGGATGTTAGGGGTGAGCTAACGCCGCTAACACTGACTCGTCAGGTTGACACTGAGTAATAAACGGAGCTCACAAGCCAGCGTAAGTGGTAGATGGGTAGTATCATCTGTCCTTAACAACTAAAGACGTTTAGTTACTGTGTCTGTGTACTGTCTTCACCCACTTACATCTTGGCATTGTTGTTGTTGCTCTTGGTGCTAACTGGTTAAATTTGGTAGCAGTTGTTGAGCTTGCTGGCTTGAGGTTGGAGAGGTGATGAAGCTGTGACAACACCACTGTCATCAAAAATGGCTGCATTAATTAATGTGTCATTATGAAATAATATGATGTGTCACTGGGAAACTAAAAACTGACTTTTAAATAGTGAAGAAAAATATTTATATCCCAAAAAGTATTCGTACAATAAGAATAATTAAGTAACATTTTTTTGAACAAATTGTTGGTTGATTTATATATTTTAAATATTGTTTAACGCGTTTAATCCATAAATTTAAGTAATACTGAGTACATAATTATAGTGACCGGCTGGTTGACTATTATAATTTGGACCTAACTTTAATCATAATCTAATAACTAACTAGTATAGCTAGCTTGTGGACAGGAAGTAACAACTCGGCAACATCTCCCACATTGGACTTCTGACTGAAGAGAACGTCAACATTTGTACACAATGTAGCTTTTATGAGGATCTTGTTCAGGCCCCATGAACGTGTTATGAAAGGCATCTAAAGTGTTTCTGGTGCAGTGGAACTATAAATAACCTTGCTTTAGGTCTGCCTCTGCTGTAAATATTTCGTGTGACTTTTTTTTTGTGCATTTATTTTAAAGATAAGTAAGAGGGAGGTAGTGACATACCTCACAGCATGAACTATGACATTTAATGGCCTTATATCTAAATGACCTCACGCTTTAATCATCGTCTAATTGGTTTCGATGAAAGTCTTTCGTCGTTGAAGCCTCCTATTTTCAAATGTAAAGCACTATCTCAGTATCTAAAGAGATATATTTTCTCAGCCTCGCTTAACAAAGCTACTATTTTGGTAGAATTTGACAGTGCACAAAGCAAGCCAAAAAAGAGATTTGACTTGTATCCACGTGCACATATCGATGTACATATAATCACACAAAAGCCATTATTTCAAAGTCATTTATAAGCTGCTAAATAATGCCAAAAAAAAAGATAGACTTTATATAGTGTCAGTATTCTACATAACCTGGAAGCGATTGGATTACAGTATAAACTAACATCTATGTGCTGTATAGTTTACCGTTCTGATTTTATTGGATGCTGCGTCCAAGATTTTCCTATTTACATATTTGTCAAATTTGTCGTGCCGATTCTTTTCAATGTGAAAATATTCAAAGTATCTTTGTTTCAAACAGTAGCTCTAATGGACTTCTTCACGTTGTCAGAGGAGCAAGTGTGTTTTCAGGAGTGGGTTGGTGTCGTTTCAAAGACTACTTTTACGTGCACGTTAGCAGTCTGATGATTTCCAGCTTTTCTCAGTGACCTGAATCCTGATGCACACATGAGTTTAGAGCACTAAGAGAAACTTGGTTAAACCTGCTAGATTTCTGATTGAATTCAGCCATTTATACACTTTATAATGGGTTGGGTTTGTTTTGTTTTATGTGTGCTAATGTGCATGGCAAAACCCCAGGACTAGGAAGGTATCATCCCTGTGGCGGTAATCTAGCAGGATTAAAGAAAATTTAGTTAATTATGCCCATGCATCGAGACTAAATACATCCTATGCTGAACACACCTAGTGATTTACCTATTCTAATGTAAATGATTTAATTTGTTAACTTTAAACAAATGCACACAGGAAAACACGCTATGCAGTTCTCACTGTACTGTCAATCCAAATACTCCAATCAAAAAAACCAACAACCAATGTGGCAGTGTCCTATTACTTGGCAAGTTTATTATGTTTCATATTAGATACACACAAAATATGTCAAAGTTAAAATATGATGGAGGAATGGGAGTGATCTGCTTCCTGACAAAACTGCGGGTGAACTGGTTTTATAGAAATCCGACCATCGCAGTGCATATAAACACGTTGCCCCGTGTCACGCCTTAAACCTGATTTCTGGAAGTTACCTGGTTTCTTAGTGCATGTAAACGTAGTGAAACATGGAGAATTCATCTAACCAGGCTGTGATGTGATAGAAGTTTGCTATGGGAGATGGAAACAGTTTAAATGTTTTTGCACAAGGAATTCTGCAGAAGACTGAATGCTTACCTGATGTTACCTTTTGTCAGATCGAATGATGGAATCTGGCCGATACACAGTCGGACCTGGGACTGAGTTGTATATTGGACTCATTTAGTTATATATTGTAGAGTATGAGGCTTCAGTAAGTGTACAAGTAAAATGAAGGGAATGCTAGAATGCATGTTGAAGATTACATTTATTGTATGGCTTTTTATGGGGGGGGGGCTGCTTGCTCGAATACAGACATACAGAACGGTTTGGCTGTGCCTTGCAGCACATTGCTCTCAGGATGCTTTAAATTTTCTAGTTTTCAGTCTCCCTGCCAAAATCCAGTGGTTACTGGCAAGAGTCTACTCTGATCTAGTAGTGATGTATTTTGTGAAAAACCTACATGTACCATGTAGTATTTTAAAAGTTAGTTTATGTACAGTTGAGAAGTGGAGATGGCATTGCAGAACTTTGTACTTTTTGTGTATATCCTTGAGCACCGTGAGCCCTAAAACAAATTGGGCTAATAGGATGGCTTTACGTGATGCAGCTACAGGCAGATGAAGTAATGTTGCAGCCCAAATCAAAAATGGGTGTTTTGATTTCCCCATATTTGTAATAATATGCTGATTGTCTGGCAGTTGTTGAGCCAGTGATCTCGATTAGACCGTTGCATTTTACCCAAGACTTTGGGCCTTAGGAGGCTAATGTTGGATGCTAATCATGGCATTCGGTATGGCCCCCGGGTCATCAGGTCAAAAGCTATCACTACTTCTCAAGAAATATGAACTAATGCGAAGCACATTCATGCTCCCAAGAGG